AAGGTAGGCAAGGGCGCCGCGTCCAGGTGCTGAATCCCCCGTATCCCCTTCCCCTCGTCTTCGTTCCCTCCTCCACGTCCCCCTCCTCCTCGTCCTCGCCTCCCTTTTTCCCCCTCATCCTCCTCCACAATTACTCAATATGAATACTACTCTCCCTCTTCCCCTGATGGCGTGCTGGGAGTAGCCGCCCCCCCCCGCGTCCTGCTTCTGTACACAGGATTCCCGGGAGTTGGGTTTCGCATGCATTTGTTTTTCAAAATGCTGCTCTCGCTGAGGCGCCGGCCTCATTTTCGGGCCCCGCTCGTTCCGAATCGTGCTCCCGCTGCAGCGCTGGCCTCATTTCCGTGCTTCCGCTCGTTCCGAATCGTGCTCCCGCTGCAGCGCTGGCCTCATTTCCGCGCTTCCGCTCGTTTCGACTCGTGCTCCCGCTGCAGCGCTGGCGTCATTTCCCGTGCCATGCCACAGCACACGCGCACACACACACGCACACACACACCACACACACACACACCACCACCACCACCACCACCACCACCACCACCACCACCACCACCACCACCACCAACCACCACCACCACCACCACCACCACCACCACCACCACCACACAACCACGCACACACGCACGCACGCACGCACGCGCACCACCACCCACTACGCACGCGCGCGCGGAGCCACAGGTCCGCTACGACACGCGTCCGCGGATAGAGAAAATCAGCGCCATGGTAAGGGATGGGAAGGAGGGGTAGGACGTCAGATATGACGCGAGCGCACCTAGCTTGTCCCTCCCCCCTTTTTCTCCTCCCTTGATGTACCCGCGTGGTTTTCGGGCCATGACTCGGGCCTTTGGGGGCCGTTCGCGACGTTTCCGGCGCCCCCAAAACGCTTCCGGCGAGTCGCAGATACTGAAGGAAATCCCCAGGCCGGAAAACCCCCCAGAGCAAACAATCCGAAAACCTTGATCCTCCATTCTCGGTTCCTCTCTCTCGGAGGAGGCGGGAGGAGGGGTGAAGGACGAGGGGGAAGACACTGAAGAGTAGTACGGCGACGACGACGACGACGAAGAAGGCGACGACAAAGAGAAGGGATAATGAGAGGGGGAGACCGCTGTGTTGGGATCTCGTGGTGCGCCTCTCGGGGCCCTCTGGGAGGCAGTTTTGAAGCCTCTTGGGGGTTATTGGGATCTTTCTGGGGCCTCTTGGGGCCTCTTGGGGCCTCTTGGGAGCCTCTTGGGGCCTCATGAGGCTCTTTCCGGGCCTCTTGGGGCCCTCTCGCGGCGGAAAATTTAGTTTTTGAATTTTTGGGCGCCCTTTTGGGTCTCTCGTGGGGCCGTCTTGGTGCTCTCTTGGGCCGCGCCTCTTGGGCGGTCTCGGAGCCCTCCTGGACCGTGTTGGGGCCTTCTTGGGGGCCTCTTGGGCAGTACTGGGGCGATCTAGGGAGCCTCTTGGGCCGTTGTGGAGCGTCGGGAAGCGGGAAAAGCGACAAGGCCAAAAACATCGAAAAACACACAAGAAAATCAAATTGTAGCCTCTCGGGGCTCTCTTGGGAGGCCTCTTGGGGGTCTCTGGGGGCGTCTTGGACGCGTCTTGGGCAGTCTTGGGCCCTGATGGGGCGTCTTGGGCCGATCTTTGGGTGTCTCGGGGCCCTCTTTGGCCGTCGTGTTTTTTTTTTTTTTCGCGTCGCCCTCGCAGGACAGACACGGAGCACTCTGCAGGAGCGCCCCAAAGGCTCGGGGAGGCCGAAATTCGTTGGGGGGGGGGCACCGTGTGCCGCTTTTCCGGGGCCCCCGGCCCTGTAAAAATATATAAATAGGAATATGTGCATATAAATATGTATGTACATTGCGCCACACATATTGCTTCACCTAAATTGCCCCGGAAGCGGGCCTCCGCAGGCCCGAACGGAAGAACAGTTCATCGTCTCGTTTTTTAATACGCCGCAGGTGTGCGGGCCGCTCCTTAATCAGAATGAAATCCCAGGTTTTTTCTGAGGTGCGTTCTGGCCAGGATCTGAAGGCAAATGCGGCCGCGCGGTGGCGAGGGCCTCCGGGGAGCCAGGGAGGGCGAGGGCACTGAAACCCTCCCCATTGTTCGTCCGTCTCCTGACTCGTTGATACACGATTACGCCTGGCTCTTGTGTCGTTCCATGAACATCCTGCCTGAAGGTTCGACCTACTTCTTCTGACCCCCGGTGGGGGATGTTTGGCCCCTGAAAGCAGTGGCCCATCGTGACCGCCCGTCGCGTAATTGCGCACAGCTCATCAGGGACTTCTGCCGCAAGGGCGCCAGCCCTTTCCAGCGTTCCCGTCTTCGCCGTCTTGCCCTCTGGCTACATTGCCCGAGCGCTGCACGGCACACGCGCGTGAATATCGCGCTCTCTCTGTCTGGTGCCAGGAGAGGAGAGTACGAAATGTGCCACCATCAAAGCAGTGGTTTGGGCCAGGAACGCACCAGTTGGTTTCAGCTTAGCCGCCTGGCGCAGTCCTCGACGCATGGCCCCCTGGGGCGCCAGGAGGCGCCAGGGAAGCCAGCTACGTGGGGATGGTTCGCTAACCCACCCTTCTGTTCTGCGTGTTTGGGGCCTCCACCATGGAACCTGGCGGGCCCTACAAACGACAGGTTTTTTTTGTTTACCGGTTCAGTTGTGCCGTTTTTTGGCCGGGTTCCGGCGCCGTTTCTGTTTCCGTTCCGTGGTTGTGCTTGTTGTTTGTTCCAGTTCCGGCTCCGATTCCAGAGCCGTTGTTTTGACGTTTTTGGTTGCCGCTGCCGCTCCCAATGTCAAGAGAACCGTGTTCGGAAACGGTGAAACAACGGCCGTGTCGCTTCTGGGCCCCATGAAACCTGGGAGTGCCCGGCGAAGGGGCCTGTGTTAATGACAGTAGACACGTCGAATAACAAGCCAGCCTGCCAGCAGGTGCCCCACAGAAGTTTCTTCTAATCACCCAGTGGCCCTGGGGGCCCGCAGAAGCCCTGGAGCGCCCTGGGATGCTCGATCTTCGACAAAGAGTATGCCCCAATATTTCTTGTAGCAGGATGCATTATGGCATGTGTGTGTGCATAAACCCATAGCCCCCTGCAGTGATTGTGCTGAGAGAATGTTTGGATATCATGATGCGGCATGTTCCATCGACGTTTCGGCGAACCTCTCCAGGCAAGCACCCCGAGAAAAGATTTCACCATGGTAGCGGAGCCGCAGCCCCTGCCGTCGTCGTCTGGCGGGTGTTCCGCGGCTGTCGGCCCCGCGAGCGCGGGCGCCGCGCACGTGCGAAGTGTGCCCGAGAACGAGGAGCGAATCAATGTGTCAAGCAACGGCTGGCGGCGGATAGCTCGGGCTCTGCGTAAGTTGTTGAAGTTATAGCGCCTGTGGTCCGCTCTCGGCAAACATCTGAAGCTCTTCGCGGCGCTCAAGCCCGCCTGGTGGACACGCGCACGCTCGGCAAGCCTGACGCGTTCACGGGGGAGGCGCACAAGCGGAACGACTGGATGGTCATTTTCAGAGCGCGCTGCGCTGTTGAATTCAGACTTGGTCATAGGGACGCGTCGGGCTGAGAGTGCCGACGCGATCTCGGTGCTCCTAGACGACCTAGCTGGAGATTCGCTCGAAAGGGCCTCGCAGCAGCTGTATTACATCCTCCTCCTACGCCGCCAGCATCTCTTGACCACCGTCGTCACTAGCGGCGAGAATGAGGGCTTCCAGGCGTGGCGCAAGCTATTTGAGTACTATGAGCCGAACGCTCGGTTTCGGATCGTCGGCCAGCTGCTCAACCTTCTGGACTTCACCTTCGCTGGCGATGTCGAGGACAGGCTAGCTCTGTTCGAGCGACAACTGATCCGTTATGAGCAGCGGAGCGGTGATACCCTCATCGGCTTAGATGAGGATAGGCACTGTGCTGCACCAGCTCGAGGAAGGGCCCCTGCGGTAACACCTCCTGCTCAGCGCGACCCGGTTCGTGGAGTTGCAGGACTTCCGCCAGGAGGTTACCGACATCCGCAGGGCCTTGAGTGCAGTCGCCCCGGCCCCGGAGCCGATGGACCTGAGCGCCTTCGCCACGGGCGGCGAGGGCAAGGGCAGGGGCGATGGCAAGGGCAACGCCAAGAGCGACGGCAAAGGCAAAGGCAAGGGCAGGAGCGACGGCAAGGGGAAGACCAAGTCCGAAGGCAAGAGCAAGACCAGCGGAGTCAAGGGCCAGGGGCAGAACCCTGCTGGGGCCGCGGCGGCCGAGGCCACACCCGGCGCGAGTGCCCTAGCAAGAACAGGGGCGCACTGGCGAGCATGGGGCAGATTCTGTCGCGCCTGAACCAGCACTATGGGCTCGGAGCGGGCCTTGGCGCGACCGGGCCGGCCCCGTCGGCTCCCTTGTCAGCCGCCTCGATCTCGACAGCTGCGACCACGAGGATAGGTCCAGCATCGTCTTCGACGAGTGGAGCGTCTCGGTAGATTGCACCGCTCTACCTCAATCGCGACACACCCGCTCGCGCACCTCCACTCCTTCACCTCGATCGACCCAGGGCCTGCGTAGGCGGGCGGCGTCGACTCCGCGAGTGGCGCGGCCCTGGGCGCGCGCATGGTCCACGGCAACGCGGATGCGGAGGACGTCGAGCTCAACGGCATCTCGCGCGCGGGCGTCGACTCGCGCGCGGCGGCCTCTGCGCTACCGCGCGGCTGGCGCGCGGACTACCCAGTGCGCGACAGTACTGGTGGGGCGATCGCCTACACGATCGCCTCTGGCCACTACGCGGCTGACGAGGGCGAGAAGCTCTTCGCGGGAAAGATGCCTGGGGCTTCCCAGGCGCGCGCCGCCGAGTTCAGGGTGGCGGACGTCAGCAAGCCGTTGCTGAGCGTCGCGGCGATGGCCGACTCGGGCCACCGACTCGTCGTCGCGACTCCGAGGGCGGGCGAGATGTCAGCAACGCGCGCCGCGAGACCAGCGGAGACGTCGTGAAGTTCTGCCGCGGGAACAAGGTCTATACGAGATCGACGCGCACGTCGACCCGCGCCGGAGGTCTGCCCGCGGAGGCGGCGGGCCCAGAGCCTCCCGAGGGCGCGGCCGGCCAGGTCGCCGAGGGCCCCCCGGCGCGACCGGCGAGGGGGCCCGCGGCCCCGACGGCGGCAGAGCGAGCCGCGCGCGAGGTGCTGCGCAAGCCCGACAGGGCACGGCGTTGGGAGCGCGTCCTCGGCAGGGGCCCATCAGCGGGCCGCCACACCACGGACCGCCAAGGGGCTGCTCTCGCGGCGGTTGGCATCGACTACAGCTAATTCTCGCGAGCGAGGTCGGGGCGACGACGCCGACTGGCAAGGGCTCCAAGCAGCGCTGGTTCCACGCGCCCACGGCGACGGCCAAGGGGGCGCAGCATCCTTGGCCGGAAGTCGCAGTCGAAGAGGCTAGCGCTGGCTGGCCACAAGCGCTTCGTCTCCCGCGCGGATGGCGACGCTTCTCTCGTCGCCGTCGCAGCCAAGCTCAAGGAGGGCCGCGGCGTCGAGACGGCCCCCGAGGAGAGCGCGGCTGGCGACTCTCAGGGCAACGGCTTCACCGAACACGCCGCGCGCGAGGTGAAGGCCAAAGTCTGGGCCGCGAGGGCGCAGGTCGACGACCTCCGCGGCGCGAGCGTCGGCGTCGACCACCCGGCAACCCCGCGGATGGTCGAGCACGCGGCGACGTCGACCAACTTGGGCCGGCGCGGCGCCGACGGTCGGACCGCGCGGGAGCTCGGGCACGGCCGGGCTTTCGGCAAGGACCTCGCAAGCTTCTCGGAGAAGGCGCTGCGCCCTCCCAGGGGGCAAGCGGAAGGCCCGCATTGAGGACAAGTTCCTCTCTCGGCTCCACCTGGGGCCCACGCTGCGCACCGACGAGGTCTACATCGGCGCGGAGTTCGTCGCGCTGCGCGCCCGGGCCCTCGAGCGGCTGCCGATCGACCAGCGCGGCGACAAGGACATGCTGATCGGTCTCGGGAGGAAGCCGTGGGCGCCCGTGCCGGGGAATGCGGCGAGTGACGAGGTCCTGGTGGCCATCGAGATCCGCGTGCCAGTGCCAGTCGCGCCGGCTGGCGCCCCAGTCTGCCCGTCGGCCCAGCCGACGCGGCACTGCCGGCCCCCGAGGGGGCGGACCTCCCACCTCGATCGGGCTCCTCGAGGCGCGCGGCCGAGCGCCGGGCCTCTAGCCGCCTACATCGAGAAGGACATCGAGATCGCGATGTACGGCACCACCCCCGGCAGCTGCAGCTGCGCCGCGATCCCCCTCGGCGCCCGGGCGCAGGCTCACTCAGCCGAGCGCCGCGCTCGGATCGAGAAGGCGACGCTCGAGGGCGACGAGGCGAGGCTCGAGGAGGCTCGCGATCGGAAGCGACAGCGCGGGGATAGCGGAGGAGGCACTTCGCCAGGCAGCGGCGGGCCGGCTCCGGCGGCGCCTGCGCCGGAGGCCGCGCCAGCCGCTGACGCGAACATGGCCCCGGCTCCCCCAGGCCCAGGCGACGGCGACATGCAGGCGGAGATTGAGGCGCCGCTGTTTTCGCTCGGCTACAGCGGGCGCAAGGTTGACGTGGGTGTTCTGCCCGAACAGCTTTTGCGCCGCTCTTCGGGCTGGTCCACGGCGCCTCGTTCGACGTCTGGGTCGCGGCTGGGATTTGCCCGACCGCCACCAAAAGCACCGATGTCGCGAGCTATAGTTGGGTACTACCAGCCGCACTTCCTCCCGGGGAGCCCTCGCTGCGCGCCGCTCTCCATGCTGACGCGCCTGGGCGAGGATTCCAAGAAGCAGCGCCAGGCCTATCCCACCAGGCACGAGCACCTAAGGTTCGCGATGGAGTTGCATGCGCTGCAGGTCGTGAGTGGCCGCGCGTTCCTGCGCGAGCACTCCTGGGGCGCCGACAGCTGGGGCCTGGGCGTGGTGAAGAACGTGATGGCCCTCCCCGGCGCGGCGGTCTGGCGAGGGGGCCAGCGCGCGCTCGGCCCCGCGGCCCCGGGCGCTCGCGGAGACAGGCTCGCCGAGGAGCCGACAGGGTGGATGAGCAACAATATGGAGGCGTTGGTTGAGGTTTGCAAGCGCAGCCCGAACGACACCAGGATAGGTCCACAGCGCGAGCGCCCCACCTTCGTCGGCCACAACGCGCGCGCGGCAGGGAGGTGCCCAACGAGGCTCCTTCGCGCCATGCTACGCGGTCTCCGCCAGCACCTCTCGAACAAGAAGGCGCTCACTTTTTCGGCCCTCGGCGCGGGGCCGAACGTGGACGGCGAGGGGGTCAGCCTGAAGGGCTTCACCGGGCGCTGGCGCGACATTCTGGATACCGAGCTTTATGGAGCGCCGCTGGACGCCGAGAAGGTCAAGGCGGCGAGGCGCGCGGAGATGGACTTCATTGCCCCGCTCGGCGCGTGGACCTACCCGAGCGACGAGGACTGCCACCGTGAGTTCGACCGCAAGCCTCTCAGCGCGCGCTGGGTCGACATCGACAAGGGTGACTCCAGCAGGCCTGACTATTGGCCGCGTCTCGTCGCGCAGGAGACCAGAGCGCAGAGCACCATCGCTGGGGGCGACGTCGGCGCAGTGTTCGCAGTGACGCCACCGCTGGAGTGCCTCCGGCTCGTGTGCAGCATGGCGATGTCGAGCGACCCTGCCGAGGGTCGCGCCCTGCGCTTCTTGGACATCGACTCACCCGCACTGCGAGATCAAGAGGACGCTCTACATCGGGCTCTCCGAGGAGGGCCCGATGTCGCAGGAGATGGACACGCGCGGGCCCTGGATGATGACACTCTACGGGACGCGCGATGCCGGCCAGAACTTCGAGCTGACGACCGCTGAGACCGTCGTCGGCGCCGTCTGCGACCAGTCGACCTTCTCTCCGCGCGTGTACTACCATAAGGACAAGCAGGTGGGCTTCTTCCACCACGGCGACGACTTCGTTCTCGAGGGCCTCCGCGACTGACGGAGGCGATCCGTGAGATGCTGAGTGCGAAGTTCATCGCGAAGGACCGCGGCGTGCGCGGGCCAGCGCCGACCGACCTGAAGGAGATCACGCGCCTCAACAGGGCCATGCGCTGGCGTGACCGGCGGAGCCAAGGGGGGCGAAACCATCGAGCGCGAGGCGGGCCCCAGGCATGCGCAGATCCTCCATGCGCAGCTTGGGACGACGTCGGCCGCGATTTCACTGAGCACGCCTGGCGCGAGCCAGAATCTGACACCTGAGGTCGAGCGCGAGCTGCCCGAGGCCGAGGCGGCCGAGTACCGGTGTGCGCACACGAGGTTGGGCTATCTCGCGCTCGACCACGAGGCGCTGCAGTTCGCCGCGAAGGAGCGCGCCCGTGGCATGCAGACGCCGACGGAGCGCCATCGCAGACTCCTGAAGCGCTGAAGCGCACAGGGCGCTTCCTTGTGGGAGCACCGCGCGCTGCGTGGAGGTGGGGCCCGTCTTCGGGACGTCTACACAGACACGGATTGGGCTGGCTGCCCGATCACCAGGCGGAGCACCAGCTCGGTCGCGATCAAGCACGGCCAGCACCTGATCGCGACGGCCTCGACGACCCAGATCCCGATCGCCAGGAGCTCAGGCGAAGCGGAGTGCTACGGCTGCGCGCGTGCTGCCAGCAGGGCCATCGGCATGCAGGCCCTGAATCGGGGCTTCGGTCGGGACGTGGGCCTTCGTGCGTGAAGCGATTCGGCCGCGGCCCTCGGCATCATGCAGCGCCGAGGCTGCGGCGAGGTTCGCCAACTGGAGAAGCCGACGCCGTGGGCCCAGCGGGCCCTTCGCGACGGCCGCTTCCAGCTCACCAAGATCCTGGCAAGGCCAATCCCGCGGACCTGGGCATTAAGCACCTAGACCAGGCAGCGTTGCTGCGAGCTGTGAGCATGATGAATGTTGAGATCTCGGACGCGCCTCTCTCGAGTGCCCTCCAGGCGAAGGTCTGGGGGGCACGTCTACGACGATGGCCATTTTGGCCTGCAGTTCTTCAGCCTCCACGCCATGTTTTGACTTGAATAGGGCTACGGTCAGTGGCGCTGCTTAGTGCTTACTCTGGGCACGTCCGAATGGTCGAATTGATCCTGCAACATCTGCGCTGCCGAGAACGGGCTCTGCTGCGCATGGGTTTGAGCCGCGCCTGGCCAAAGGAGCCAGGCGGCACGAAGGGGGCGGCATAAACCCGTAGCCCCCGTGCAGTGTCTGTGCTGAAAGAGTATTTGGACATCGTGATGCGGCATGCTCCATCGACGTTTCGGCTCACCTCTCCCGGCAAGCATCCCGAGAGAAGATCTCACCAGTCTGCCATTGGCCCGCGCTCTTATAAGACCACGCCCCGACTGCGCACCAGGCCCTCCGACGGCGGACCCAGACCCTCGACGTCGTGATTGCTGCATGACGTGGACCCTCCCCCATGGAGGTCTGGACTCCTCTCTGGGACCAGCGTTTCTTCCTTGTCGTTTTAGTTGACGGACCCGGGGCCTAGCAAGGGCCCCCAAAGTTGGAAAGGTCGGCGGCACGTAAAAGTGGCGTTTCCCCAAGGGGGCCTTAGGTGCGGGCACACCGGGTCCCCAGATGATTGAACGCGATGCGATAGATCGCGGCTTGCGCTCTCTGCTTTGGCGCCCCCCGCCTTCCGAAAGCCGCGCACCAGAGGCCGCTCTTGCATAGGGTCGCTTTTGCGCGGAACCGAACATCGAACAAAAACCTTTCGTCGTGATGTTTGTCGCTACCGTCGGGGCGTTGACCGAAGGCACCCGACATAAGGAACGAGGCCCCTTGTTCCCACAAGTTCCAAAAACTTCGAGCACCCATGAAAAACGGCAGGAAAGCCGACGGCAAATTGCAAAACAATCAATGAACACCGAGCCTTTCCCCAACGAGAACGGTTCCTTTTTCATCGCCCCGGCTGTACGCGAAGGGGTGTTTCTTTATTGTTTTGTGTAGTTTGCCTTTGGGTTTTCCTGCAGCTTCACGTGGGAAGTCGAAGCTTAACGTATGGGAAAAAAGGGACCGCGTTCCTTATGTCGGGTTCTTCAGGTCAGCGGCCCGAGTGCACGCGAAGGAGGGGGTCCTCCTCCTCCTCCTCCTCCTCCTCCTCCTCCTCCTCCTCCTCCTCCTCCTCCTCCTCCTCCAACTCCAACTCCAACTCCAACTCCAACTCCAACTCCTCCTCCTCCTCCTCCTCCTCCTCCTCCTCCTCCTCCTCCTCCTCCTCCTCCTCCTCCTCCTCCTCTTCCTCTTCCTCTTCCTCCTCCTCGTCCTCGTCCTCCCCCTCATCCTCCACCTCCTTCCCTTCCCGCCCTCCAACTTCTGGTGGTGGCGGCGGACAGCATGCCCATCAGTCTGGGGAGGGCGCCCCGAAGCCTTCTCGCTGCTGGCCCCCGAGGCCTGCACGCCTTGCAGCTGCTCGCCACCCTGGGCGGCAGCGGGGGTCCCGTGGGCTGGGAGGACGACCCGGGCTCCGGCCGGAGGCCACGCCGTCGCCGCCCTCGTGTTTGCGGGGGCGGGAGGAGGAGGAGGAGGAGGACGAGGAGGAGTGGGGCAGGGCGGGGGGGGGTCGGGCCGCTCCGGTTGCTCATGGCGGAAGTCTTCTGCCTCAGAGTGTTCGCCCTTCTCCCCCCCGCGGCCGCCTTCCCCTTTTTCCGTCCTCCTGCATGTCGGCCAGTTCGCTTTGTAGTGCCCCTGCATCGCTGCTACGCTGGAGCGGATTGTCCCGCCTCGCCGCCGCCGATGGAAAAAGTGTTTTCGGGGGCGGACAGAACCCCCACCCTGACACGGCGATTCGTTGATTGCCCGTTTTCGGTTCTCGAGGGGGCGCCGCAGCCGTCATTTTCCAGGCTTGCGCCCGCCAGGTTTGGGCCCGAGGTCGTTTTCACCAAACCACGTTTTACAAAAGGGGGTCTGTCCATCCCCGATGTTTCGGCCCCGTCGAAATCGAAGAAGTAAAAACGCCATAAGCAGAAATGTGTGGCGTTCCGCGCGGAGTTCTTGGATCCGCGCTGGGCCCCCCCAGCGGCGCCAGAAGAGGCGCCGCCCCTGGCGCTCTCCGCGCGCCAAGGACGGCGCGCAAAGCGCAGAGATCGCAGGGCGCCAGAGGCGGCGCGCCAGGGGCGGCGCGCCTGGCGCCCATCCAGCGCAGATCCCAGAAACCCGCGCGGAGCGCCACAAGTTTATGTTTGTCCCGTGCCTCTTTTTCTTCTGCGAAATTGGTTCCGAGAATCACTGGGGATGAAAGCCGACAGCAGTTCCTGCCCATTTTGAACCGGAATCGCTGTCAGTGTGGCCGCGGGCGGCGTCCACTTGAGACAGAATGTCGCCTGCCCGACAGCGGCCGCTGTCGGTTTGGGACAACATGTGTTGTTGGGCATCGCCATTACCCGTTTATTCCGTACACGTTTCGGGCGTACCAAGTGGTCGTCGTCGCCCTCAGATTTCTGGCGACATGTTTTTGTATCCGTGCGTTCTTCCTCGATGTCGGTGTGTGCCGGTTTGCCTTTCAATTTGGGCATTTTACTTTCATGAAGTGGAAGTGCCGGGGTTGGGGCCAGGCCCGAAATGAAATTTGGACTTGGCCCTGAGTGCAGCGTAATATTCCGAGGCCTGTTCTGCAAAGCTAGACTCGCGGCCCGCCGAGGTGTGAGGGGGCGGTACATCATCACGGGAAGCGCGCCATGTGTGCCATGGTATCGCGCGTGCTCGCATGCCTCCTTCCCCCCCTGGTCGTGCCATGTACTCCTCCCGCGCGTGCTTGTCCAGTGGTGCTGGGCCCAGTCGTTGACCGTCTCGCTGCTCTGCCCCAAACCGATATGTTGCCGCTCTTCGGGATAGGTGCGTGGCGTCCGCCAGCCGGCGCTCTCTCCACGCTCCCTCAATCAGTTCCATTATGAGTGCACGCTCCCTTTTGGCCGATGTCCTCCTTTCCGCCTTTAGCCGATTCGACAATTTCCTAAGCTCCTGCTCGATCTCCTTCATCTCTTCCGCCCCATTGCTCTCCTTGCTAGCCTTCATGTCCATCCTCATTTTTGAGAGCTCCCGTCTGCGAGCGCAATCGGCCGAGCTAGGTGCCGAGGGCGACGAGCGAAAGTGGTTTATCCCCACCTGGGTGAACATCCTTTCGTAGGCCTCGAAGTCGTTGTCGGGTGCGCCTGTGTGTGAGGGTCAGCAATTCTTCCTCATTCCCATCCAATTCAGTGACGAGGTCGCAGAGGAATGCGGCCTTACCCCTTCCGTACCTCACCGCCATCATGAGTGCCGAGGGGGTGAGTTTGGGAGGTGGTTGGGAAGTTAACTGCCTAGGATCTTTGACGTAATCCATTTCAAGTACGTGATCCCGAGGGGGAAGTGCGCGCACCGCCTGCACCTGAGCTCTCAACTTGCGGAGTGTATGACAGTGTACTATTATTTCGTGGTATCCGTGGGGAATATACAGGTAGTCAATCGTAGAGGCAATCGAAGAATTAGAACAGGAGATATATTTGTATTCCAGGGGGCGAAACGTAAATGAAGCACATAGGTAATGCCGGTCCTTTAGCTTCCGCACCTCCTCTCCTGCCCCTCGTCGTCGTTGTTCTCGTCCCCTCGTGTCCCCCACAGACGACGACGGCACCGCCTCCCACTGCCCCGATACCTTGCTTAACCCCAACCCGCCGTTTAAGACCGAGTAGAAGATGGGCAGCGTGCGGGACGGGAGGGGGTTCAGGATGTCGTCCCACCGTCTCGTGAGTGCCTGGACGGTCGCTGAATAACTGCCCACCTGGCCTTTCTTCGCAGGCTGAGGAGCGAAGTAGAGAGAGAGAGAGAGCCGAGCACGAGGTCTTACGCACCACGCGTCACTCTCACTGCAATCGCTCGTCCTGCACACTCTGGGGGTGAACTCGAGGTCTGGACAATGTCTCGTTCACGACACCCTCGACCGAGGCAGATAGAGCAACCGGCGCAGTGGCTTGTCAAAGAAAGTCCTTTCCGATATATTGATTCGAGAACAAGCCTTCCATCGACCGACGCCGAAGCATTCCCTCTCCCCTCCGACAAGACTCCTGCGTACCAGCCAGGAGCAGGGCATCCGATCCTTGTGCGGCCTGAAGAAATTCGTTCATTGATCCGCACCCCAGTCGTAAACGTGGGATTGAAAGATATGATCCGAAGAGCCGAACGAGTCGGCGCCATGGGCCTGCTTGCAAGGGGCGCGCCTCGACCCCTCAACACCTTGTGCGGGTGTGCGAAACCCCAGTGCTGTATGTCCGAAAACAGGGAGCCAGTTGGGGCTTAGGAGGAGGAGGAGGAGGAGGAGGAGGAGGAGGAAAGGAGGAGGAGAGCGAGTAGAAAGGCCAGAAGCTTCTTGGATGCCTCTCGGAGTCTCTTCGGATTTCTTCCAAGAGCTTCTTGAAGTCCTCGTGGGGTGCCTTGGGGGTCTCGTTGCAGTCCCGGGGGGGCCTCCTGGGGCGTCTTAGGTGTCTCTGGGGAGCCTCGTGGAGCCTGTTGAGGGTCTCTTGGGAGCCTGTTGGAGGCATCTTGGGGGCCTCTTGTGGGCCGTCTTGGGGCGTCCTGGGCACCTCTCGGCGCAGTCTTGGAGCACCCTTGGGAGCCTCGGGTGACATATTGGGGCCATTTTGGAGGAGATCGATCAAAGGAGGGGCCGTAATACATGAGGGTCCCCCCAGGATGCCAAGATGTGCCCAAAAACCTTTTTGTAAAATCAGTGATTTCGGTCCTCTCGCCAAGGCCGTTTCGGACGCTCGAACGAGCCGCTGCCACTCCCCGTCCAGACCCAGGGGGAGGGGGGAGGGCGGGAGAGGTCAAGACGCCCTCCCATCCCGCAAGCTGTGTCGCTCACTCCCGCCCGCCCTCCCATCACATAAGTAGCACCCAGGCCTCAGCATGTTCAGCGGTTGTCTATGGATGGGCAGCTAGTGAGAAACAGTACAGACCCCATGTGCGCGATGAGGCGGGGTGCGCCGTGCGTGCAAGGCGCCCCAGGTGCGCCAGGCACCCCTGGGGACCAAGCATGCAAAGCACGCCTCGCGGGCCAGATGCGCCACGTGTGCCATGTGTGCCGCGTGGTCCAGCCGAGCCAGGTGGGCCACGCCCGGGACACGCACAGAGTGTGGCAGGTGCGTCCGAGAACGTGACAGCTCACATCAGGAAGCACGTCGGACCCCACCATCCTTGTCGAGAACCAGCGCGCAATCGCGGCGAGGCGGCCATGATTGTGTCTCGTTAGCTTGCACACAGCAGGCAGTATGCCAGCACCCCCGTGGTCCTTGTCAAACACCTCAGGACAGTGATCGCGGGGTAGCCGCGCATGATCCAGATTTAGCCGCGAAGTGCATGTTGTATTGTTTTTGTTAACCGGGATGGTTGCTTTGCGTAAAGGAGGCAATATGAGGGCCTCCCCGCCGTCCCAGTCTACAAACAATACAAAGCGTTCGCGGGGCCCACGAGCATGACCCAAGATTTTGCCCAGTGTTTTGTTTTGTTCTTTGACAGGGATAGGGGTGGGCGGGGGGGCATTGGTCCTGGTTGCCTGCCGATCGCCTGGGGGAGGGGGTTCTTACCAATAGGCAACAGTGACAAACCTGTCCCCGAAGGAGAGGAAAGAGGGCTGGAAGAGCAAACGCCCAAAACAACCACTCACGCCCTAAAGGCCTGGTGGGATTAGATTGGCGACCCTGGCATCGAGTGACAGCATCCAGACGCATAGGTGGCCAGCGCAAGAAGCGGCGCGATGCATAGTGCGCTGAATGTTCCGCAGCCTGGCACCGCGCCGGAGCGGGCTCTCCCGCTCGTCGGGGGCGACAAAAAAGGGGGTGATGACTAGGGGGGGTGGATATCATGGCGTGGGCCATGATATTTCCTCAGATTTCATGGCGCCTTTCCTTATTTCATTACGTCCCTGGCCCCCCCAAAGGGCCGCGCGCATGCCGCTGGCCATGATTTGCGCCCCCCCCCTCTTGGCCGCCCCCAAGCTCTGCGGGCGCTCTCATCTCTCACCTTCCGCCTCTTCCTGGCCCCCCTCTTCGGCGCACCCGGGACACGCCGGGCGCCTCGACCTCTGCTCCGGAGTCGCAGGATGCTCAGAGGCGACGAGAGGGGCGAATAGCCCAGGCGAGAGCAATGCACGTATCCAGGGGCGCCGATGATCTGTGTCTTCGCCAGGGCTCCTGGGGGAACACGTGTACTGCCCGCCCCTGGGCTATTCGCCCCTCTCGTCGCCGCCGAGATGGCCGCGGCCCCTGCCGCAGGGGCCTCGCCAGCGCCCTCCTGGAGCGGCGCGCGGCCGACGCCACCAGGCCCGACGCAGTGAGCACAGGACCGCCGGATCGCCGGGCGGGGCGCGCGGCCGGGCGCCCAAGGTGGCCTAAGAGCAAGTCGGGCCTGTCCCTCTTACAGGGGGAATATCCAAAAATAGTTTTTTTTAGAAAATAGTCTGGGGGCGATTTCTGGACCATTTTTGTATATTTTTGGTACATGTTGAGGTACTTTCATATGTTTCGTCCCAAATCCGCCCGTAGGGGGACATGCCCGACCTAAGCCTAAGACTGAAGGGTCCAGGCCTCCCAAGCCCAAATCTCTGATGAGATGATGTTTTCGAGCAGGGGGGGGGGGGGTCGGGTCCCCGATTTCGGCCTCTCGGGCCCGTTATCGGGGGCCATCAAACATGGATCCGGGGCGACAAAATCAGGAACGACACACTACCGCCCGATACGGGGTCGGGGCCTCTGGGCCTGCGCATTGAGAAACAAATAGTTGTTGGGTCGGGAAATTGGGTCGAAGTAGATAGGGGTCGGAGGGTCGCGCCGCATCACCGATTTATCGGCGATGCGGCTCGATGTGTAGCCTGATGTTCTCCACGCCGACGGCACCGACATGTCGGCGATGCATTGGCGATTCGGCACGATCCCCCGACCCCATCTGCTGGGATACTTCTGGGAAGCATCCAGAGGAGGAGGAGGAGGAGGAGGAGGAGGAGGAGGAGGAGGACGACGACGACGACGACGAACCCAGACCTCCAACGCGGTGGAAAAAATAGCACGAAGGGTTCTCACCATCTTCGGCCCCGCGGGGCCCTCGCTGGCCCCCCGGGACCGTCGAGGAGCGGCTCGGCAGGAAGAGCTGGCCCCAGGGGAGAGGGCCTGACGCCCGAGGGCATTGCAATCACGCGGCGAGAACACACATCGGGCCTCGAGGAAGTACGACGACGACGACGACGGGCTCGCTCTGGGAAGTTGTGGTAGTCAGCTGGAGCGCGAGGAGGAGGAGGAGGAGGAGGAGGAGGAGGAGGAGGAGGATGCTTCAGATCCGGTGGTTCAGCTCCCCAGAGAGTACAGCACTGGAGGGAGGGGCAGGATGAGGAGCAAGGAAGGGCTGGCATGAGAATGCAGCGGCGGAGGAGGCGTCCTTCGTATCTCCTTCGCGATTACTCTCTGCTCCCTCCTCTCTCGTCTCTCCCACCTCCCCCCTCGTCCCTCTGCCCTCCCTCCTCCAGCCACGAGTGAGGAATGGAGCAGCAGCAGCTTCAGCAGCATGCGGTTCTCTGGTTGGGGCCCTTGCTCTCCGCGTTCCCGTCCGTCACAAGACCGGATGTCGGTGCTCTTCCTGCGACTGCCGCGCTCGGCTCCCACCTCGCGAGAGCAGTTCGGCTGCGCATGGGAGGACAGCGGGCTACAAAGGCGTAAGTAGCACATCGTGGGAGGGCGGCAGCTCGCGGAACGGCCACGATAAGCTTATTGTGAGCGGAGCGGACTATTTTAAATTCCCCGTGCGTGAAACCAAGCCAGACAATCCCCATCGAATGGTTTCGGAGTCTGTCGCGTGTGAGAATACAGTTCGATGTGTCACACAATGTATTGCGCATGGTCGTTGCGCAGGTCCCTTATGATCAGTATCTACGCATATCGTGTCATGCGTTGCTACATATCATATGGGGTTTTGCAGTGTACGAGTTGATCACCTGTGCAAGTCATACGTGGTAGCACAGTCCGTACGTATGCTGCGTGTGCACGATCGCTTTGCCTAATCAATTGCGCTGTACTGAATATGAGTATCATTGATTTGAGTAATTGAATATGGGTTCCATGTTGACTTGTTGTTGCCTTGTTGTGCACGTGTTTGGTGTGTGTGTTATTGACGCGCGGCATCGCTGTAAGATCTAAACGTGAATTCGTTCTGCATGGTTGTGATGTCGACTAGTGATGACTGGTGTTGATGTATGTTGTTGGCGGCTTGTCTCCGAAATCATGGTATTGAGCCCGCAGAGCGGTAGTCACGGCGGGTCCCCAGGGGGGAATTCCACGCAGATGTTGCAATCATTGGGGCCGTCGATGGGTATGTTTTCGACGAGAATCGGGAGCCTCGAGACGGGGTTCAATGCAAACGGGGGTCAGCCAGCCAGAGAACCGGATCTTGCAGGATCCTGCAGCGCCAGGGTCGCATTGACCTGGGCTTGGGTGCAGGATCCTGCAGGATGTTGCAGGATCCTTCGCATTGACCCGGATTTGGGTGCATGATCTTGCAGGATTTTGCAGGATGTTGCAAGGCCTGACCGACCCGGGTCTGGATTGACCCGGGTCAGAAGATCCCCGAGAGAATCGGTGCTATTCGTTGCGAATGTTCTCAGTGTCAACTTGGCGTCCATTGGGGGGGAAGGCGGTCTTAGAGACTAATTGGCAGCCTCAGGGGGCCCATGGGCCACGCAGTGCTTGAGGGGTGTGCTGAATCGAAGCTCCGCTGAACCGTCTGAGGGGTCACCTGAGGGCCCATTGGAGGTCCATGGGGCACGAGAACGAGGAGCGTGCCGAATTGAGGCTCCCTCGTAGATTTGCCGAGGATGTGTCAAGCGAAAAATGTTGATAGTCGGAATGCTTTCCGACGCCGATGTTTCGAGGATGTCTCAGGCGAAACGGCCACTCGTGAGATTCAGAATCTCCCCCGAAGCCGATTCTCGAGGATGTCTCAAGCGATTCGGCAATCCTCGTGAAATCCCCGCGCTCTGGCCTGCGGATGCCGTCATCGGGCCTCTTCGGACCGGCGGAATGCACGAAGCCGTTCCCAGCATGCATTTACGCGTGCATCTCAATCCATACTCTTCCAGATCTTGGTCAACCCGCGTGGGTCTGCACGGCGAGGGCCCGCAGGGGGACCGCCCAGTTTGGTTTGTTGTTTTTTTCGTTCATTCCGCGGGCCCATATTGCGTCGTGCTTGCAATTTGCGTGCGTGCTCGTGGGCATTGGGATTTGTTGAGCGGTGGTGCCCCCATCTGTTGCGTGAGGCTCGCGTGGGGGAGAAGCTGCCGCTTGTCAGATTGAGTGCAACACTCAGCGGATCACGCCCCCAGCCGAGTCTCGCCGTCGAAGGCCAAAAGTACGAGAAGGCAATTTCAGAAGCCCTTTTCAGGGCTGTCGGGGTGTATTTGGGGGGTCTTTGGGAGGCTTCTGGAGGCGGCCTCCTGGGGTCATCTCAGGCTGTGGGCCGCCTTGGACAATTTCGGGCTACCTCGAGGTTTCGTGGGGGTTGTCTTGGGCCACCTGCGGGTCATCTCGAGGCATCGTGCGGTAATATTGGTGCCTGGCTCCCGCTGGTCCCCTTGTTGGGCATCTCTTGAGCCTTCTTGGTGCTCTCCTCCTCCTCCTCCATTCCTTGTCCTTATAAATAATGTCTCCCTGTCGCACCCCGAGGCCAGTTTTTAGGGCGGTCCGGGCGTTTCGCCTGAGATTTCCTCACCATCTACGCTTCTGAAGCTTAAAGTGGCAACAGCTTCACATATTGAGGGCGGGCGGTTTTCAAAATGTGGCTCTCGTCTTAGCGCCGCGCACATTCGTTTTCAAATTTTGCAAGAATTTGACGGATTGAGGGCGGGTGGTTTTCAAAATGTGGTTCTCGCTTTAGCGCCGCGCACATTCGTTTCGAAATATGCAAGAGTTTGACGGATTGAGGGCGGGTAGTTTTCAAAATGTGGTTCTCGCGTTAGCGCCGCGCACATTCGTTTTCAAATTTTGCGAGAGTTTCACGGATTCCCATGATCAACGTACCAGAAATTGCGTTTTGGAAGAATTCAGAATCATGCGGGTGCAGCAGTTATGTTCACTCGTGGTGCTGAAGTCCCAAAAATGGCGTCCTCGCTCGATTCCTGACGCAGCAGTTAGGTTCATCCGTGGCGTGGAAATCCCGAGAACAATATGTTGGCATGCTTCAAGGTCTTCAAACGGTTGCCTTCCAACGAGGCAGTTCCCTCAATGAACATGAACCGCTGTAGGGTCATATAAAGAGGGAGTTTGGAGGGAGGCTTAATTCCAGCATCGTTGATAGTCCTTGCGTTTACACAGGTCCTCCTCCTCCTCCTCCTCCTCCTCCTCCTCCTCCTCCTCCTCCTCCTCCTCCTCCTCCTCCTCCTCCTCCTCCTCCCTGGAGGTCCTCATGGGGAGTGTCGGAGCCCTCCCAGGGCTCGTTTGGGGCCCCCTTAGGGGCTACCAGGAGGCCAAGAGGCCCTTGGGAGCCCGCAGAGGCAGGAGCACCACAGTCACATAAGACAAGCCTTTGTCTTAATAAGATTCTGGAAAGATGATACTGGGAGAATTCTGAATGACTCTGAGGGCTATCCAGGGCCTCTCATGGGCGCCTCAGGAACTTATTGGGGCCACTTTGAGGGTTCGTGGGGTCTGTCTTGGACCACCTTGGAGTCGTCATGAGACCTCTTGAGGCTGTCTTGGGGCTTTGGGGGGCTCTCTTGGAGCCCTCTTGGGGCCCTCTCTAGGGGCACCTGGGGCCCGCGGAGGCAACGTCTCATGTTCTCCTATGTCTCTGACCACCTTACGGGGTTCTCTCAGGGGTGCCTCAGGAATTTAGTGGGGCCACGTGGAGGGTTCGTGGGGTCTGTCTTGGACCACCTTGGCGTCGTCATGGGACCTCTTGAGGCTGTCCTGGGGCTCTGGGGGGCTCTCTTGGAGCCCGCTTGGGCCTCTCGGGGTGGGGCCACCACGGGGGCCCAGAAGACCATTTGCAGCCCGCAGAGGCAGAAAGGCCGACATCATGGAACCTTTTTCATGTCTTTCCTGTGATGCGTAGCCTTTGGCTCAAGAGCTCTGCTGAGCAAGCGCACGCTGGCGCCAGCGCACGCCCCGAGGATCGCCGACCAGCCCTGCGCGGCCATGGCCCGCGCCACGCCGCCCGTCGCGACCGCCCGTGCCGCCCGGGCGCCGAGGCTCGCGCTGCTGCCGGCGCTGGCAGCGCTGCGGCTGACGGCCGCGGGCGCGGGGCCCGTGCCCGGCGAGAGGGGGCGCTGCTCGGCGGCGCTGGGCTTCAGCGGCGCCGCGGTGCCGATGGACAGGAGCGCGCCACCCACCAAACCGCCCCAACCCAACCCGAAGGCCCAAATTTACCCTCGATTTCCAGTGGGGGGGGGGGGGCGGTCGGGGAACATCGGAAAAAACACGTGGAGCCCGTGCCCCCGCCAACCCGAAACTTGGGTCTTCGGCTTAGGTTGGGGTGGTCTGGTAGGTGGTCAGGAGCGGTCAGGGCCTGAGGTTCTGCGCCGAGCACCACGGGAGGACGTGCTGCGAGGGCAACCATACCCGCGAGGCGCTCGTGCGCTACGCGCCGTTCTCCCACAGCGCCTCCGGCAGGTGCGGCCGGATGACCCGGCTCGCGATGTGCTCCCCGTGCGACGGGGATGTGGGCACCGGTCTCAAGTCGCAGTCGGATCGGGTCGTCCTCTGCCCCGACTTCTGCGCGCGCTGGTTCGACGCCTGCCGGGAGAGCTTCTACGAGGCTGGAAGGGCGGCGTCCGCGCTGTCGCCCTGTGGCCAGGACAGCCTGGTCTGCAGCCGGCTGGGCGAGATCACGGAGGACCCCCGTGGGTTCTGCGAGAGCATAGGCCCGTATGTGGTGGCGGACGGCGGGGAGCCAGACGCGTGCTACGACGGTGTGCCGGCCGCCAGCTCTCGCGGCAGGGGGCCGAAGGCCTGAGCGAGGGACCCCTTGCCACCGCGCAGGTGCCGAGCGGCGCCCCGCGGGAGGGCCAGCCGCAGCGGGGCCGGGGCTGCGCGCGCGCGCCTGGTGCGGGGGCCCGGGGGGCGCAGGGCGCCCCTATTTGGCAGAGGCTGCCGAAGTCAGCAGCTGCGGCGCCCGCGACGGGCCCGTGCACTCGACGGTCCCCCCTCAGCTTGGTCGGACGGGTGTCTCGAATTAGTTGTTTTTTGTTGAATGCAGGCTTGGTCGATCAGGCGGGCCCTCCCGCGATCAAGCCGCTGCGCCCACGGGCAGGCGGCTGAGGCCCAGCCGACCCTGGACAGATGGTGTGCGCTGGTGGCCTGTTTTTGTTGCGTTGCGCGGGCCTTGCGGCACCGCGAAGGCATTACACGCAAGACGTAGTTACTCAAAGACCCTCTCGCTGTACAGTCCCCGAGAGAAAGAGCAAACAAAAAGATGTTGCACCGATCAGGTGCTCCTGGAAAGCGTGCTGGCCCCCCGAGGTGATTCGGCCCCCTTTCCTTTCTCGAGGACGTCTCAAGCGATTCGGCAATCCTCATGTAATCCCCGCGCTCTGGCCTGCGGATGCCGTCATCGGGCCTCTTCGGACCGGCAGAATGCACGAAGCCGTTCCAAGCATGCATTTACGCATGCATCTCAATCCATACTCTTCCATATCTTGGTCAACCCGCGTGGGTCTGCACGGCGAGGGCCCGCAGGGGGACCGCCGAACATGGTTTGTTCGTTTGTTTCATTCCGCGGGCCCACATTGCGTCGTGCTTGCAATTTGCGTGCGTGCTCGTGGGCATTGGGATTTGTTGAGCGGTGGTGCCCCCATCTGTTGCGTGAAGCTCGCGTGGGGGAGAAGCTGCCGCTTGTCAGATTGAGTGCAACACTCAGCGGATCACGCCCCCAGCCGAGTCTCGCCGTCGAAGGCCAAAAGTACGAGAAGGCAATTTGAGAAGCCCTTTTCAGGGCTGTCGGGGTGTATTTGGGGGGTCTTAGGGAGGCTTCTGGAGGCGGCCTCCTGGGGTCCTCTCAGGGGCTCGTTCGGGCCTCCTGTGGGCCGCCTTCGGGCTACCTCGAGGTTTCTTGGGGGTTGTCTTGGGCCACCTTCGGGGTAACCTGCTAAGGTTGAGCCCGCTGGCTGCTGCCTTTCCTTTGGAATAGAGCTGTTTGGCTGAGTAAGGCCGGTAGCGGACTCACGCTTCGTCTTCTCCCCACCCCGACTCTGAAGGAGGAAGGGCAAAGGCGAGAGGTATCGAGCGTTCGTCCGCGGCCGCTTGGGCCCAAGCGACCAGCCGCCAATTTGACCGGGTCGCACCGCGGCCCATATAGAACCCGGGGGGTAGGCCTACCCTAGGCCTACCCATAGGCCTACCCCCTAGGCCTACCCTAGGCCTACCCCCTAGGCCTACCCCCTAGGCCTACCCTAGGCCTACCCCTAGGCCTACCCCCTAGGCCTACCCTAGGCTTACCCCTAGGCCTACCCCCTGGGCCTACCCTAGGCCTACCCCTAGGCTTACCCCCTACGCCTACCCTAGGCCTACCCCTAGGCCTACCCCCTAGGCCTACCCTAGGCCTACCCCTAGGCCTACCCCCTAGGCCTACCCTAGGCCTCCCCCCTAGGCCTACCCCATAGGCCTACCCCCTAGGCCTACCCCCTAGGCCTACCCGAGGCCTACCCGCCCGTTAGGGTTCACGCGTGTCAAGTGCACACGCACCATACTTGAATGTCCCGCCCGCCCGACCCGACCCGCCCGTTAGGGTCCGCCCGACCCGACCCGACCCGCCCGTTAGGGCCCGCCCGACCCGACCCGCCCGTTAGGGTCCGCCCGCCCGACCCGACCCGACCCGCCCGTGAGGGTTCACGCGTGTCAAGTGTACACGCACCATACTTTAATGTCCCGCCCGCCCGACCCGACCCGCCCGTTAGGGTCCGCCCGACCCGACCCGACTCGCCCGTTAGGGTCCGCCCGCCCGACCCGACCCGACCCGCCCGTTAGGGTTCACCGTGTCACGTGTGCACATACTTTAATGTCCCGCCCGTAGGGTCCGCCCGACCCGACCCGACCCGTTAGGGTCCGCCCGCCCGACCCCGACCCGCCCATGAGGGTTCACGCGTGTCAAGTGTACACGCACCATACCTTTAATATGCCCTCCGCCCGACCCGCCCCCGCGAACCCGCCCGTTAGGGTCCGCCCGCCCGACCCGACCCGACCGACCGACACCCGTGTGAGGGTTTACGACCCGCCCGACCGTGTTCAAGTGTCCACGCACCACGCGTACTTCAAAGTCCCGCCCACGCACCACCGACCCGCCCGTTTATAGGGTCGCCCGCCCGACCCGACCCCCGCCCGTGAGGGTTCACGCGTGTCAAGTGTACACGCACCATACTTTAATGTCCCGCCCGCCCGACCCGGCCCGCCCGTTAGGGTCCGCCCGACCCGACCCGACCCGCCCGTTAGGGCTCACGCGTGCTAGTGCGAACATGCTCCACACTTTAATGCCTGCCCGATCCTACCCGATCCGTTCTGGTCCGTCTGCTCGATCCGGCGGGCGGGCAGGCCTATAGGGGTAGGCCTAGGGGGTAGGCTTAGGGGTGGGTAGGCTTAGGGGTAGGCCTAGGGTAGGGCTAGGGGGTAGGCCTAGGGGGTAGGCCTAGGGTAGGCCTAGGGGGTAGGCCTAGGGGGTAGGCCTAGGGTAGACCTAGGGGGTAGGCCTACGGGGTAGGCCTAGGGCAGGCCTAGGGGGTAGGGTAGGGGGTAGGCCTAGGGTAGGCCTAGGGGGTAGGCCTAGGGGTAAGCCTAGGGTAGGCCTACCCTCCGGGCTCTATATGCTTAGGTCTACCTTAGGTCATTGGGTAAGGCCTACCCTAGGTCTACCCTAGGGCCTTGGGTAGGGCCTACCCTAGGCCACCCTAGGGCCTTGGGTAGGGCCTAGGGTAGACTACCCTAGGGCCTTGGGTAGGGCCTACCCTAGGCTACCCTAGGCCCTTGGGTAGGGCCTAGGGTAGGCTACCCCCCTGGGTTCTATACCCCGCGGCCCGCTATCTGACATCGGCCCGCAATCTTACTCTTGAGATGTTCTCTCGCCGCTCACGCGGCCATTTCCTATCTTTGGCATTATCGTTAATACGATACAACAAGCAAGGTTGGGTCTTCCAACTGGCTTTACACTGTCTTGGGCCACCTTCGGGTCATCTCGAGGCATCGTGGGGTAATCTTGGTGCCTGGCTCCCGCTGGTCCCCCGCTGCTGGGCCTCTCGGGGCCCTGCGAACTCAAGAGACTGACAAAGACCTCTGAAAGTGGTGGGCGGGGGAGGGGGAGAGGAGGTCGAGAGGGCGAGGTCGGGGCTAATCTTCCTGCGATAGGGCCCCTGGGGGTCCTTATGGGGAGTGTCGGAGCCCTCCCAGGGCTCTTTGGCGGCCCCCCTTGGGGCGACCACGAGGCCAAGAGGCCCTTGGGAGCCCGCAGAGGCAGGAACACCACAGTCATGTAAGACAAGTCTTTGTTTTAATACGATCCTGGACATATGATACCGGGAGAATTCGGAATGACTCTGGGGGCTATCCGGGGCCTCTCAGGGGCGCCTCAGGGATTTAGTGGGGCCACGTGGAGGGTTCGTAGGGTCTGTCTTGGACCACCTTGGAGTCGTCATGAGCCCTCTTGAGGCTGTCTTGGTGCTCTGGGGGGCTCTCTTGGAGCCCTCTTGGGGCCCTCTCTAGGGGCACCTGGGGCCCGCGGAGGCAAAAGGCCCCAAATCATTGAACTTCTTATGGTTCACGCGTGTCAAGTGTACACGCACCATACTTTAATGTCCCGCCCGCCCGACCCGGCCCGCCCGTTAGGGTCCGCCCGACCCGACCCGACCCGCCCGTTAGGGTTCACGCGTGCTAGTGCGAACATGCTCCACACTTTAATGCCTGCCCGATCCTACCCGATCCGTTCTGGTCCGTCTGCTCGATCCGGCGGGCGGGCAGGCCTATAGGGGTAGGCCTAGGGGGTAGGCTTAGGGGTGGGTAGGCTTAGGGGTAGGCCTAGGGTAGGGCTAGGGGGTAGGCCTAGGGGGTAGGCCTAGGGTAGGCCTAGGGGGTAGGCCTAGGGGGTAGGCCTAGGGTAGACCTAGGGGGTAGGCCTACGGGGTAGGCCTAGGGCAGGCCTAGGGGGTAGGGCAGGGGGTAGGCCTAGGGTAGGCCTAGGGGGTAGGCCTAGGGGTAGGCCTAGGGTAGGCCTACCCTCCGGGCTCTATATGCTTAGGTCTACCTTAGGTCATTGGGTAAGGCCTACCCTAGGTCTACCCTAGGGCCTTGGGTAGGGCCTACCCTAGGCCACCCTAGGGCCTTGGGTAGGGCCTAGGGTAGACTACCCTAGGGCCTTGGGTAGGGCCTACCCTAGGCTACCCTAGGCCCTTGGGTAGGGCCTAGGGTAGGCTACCCCCCTGGGTTCTATACCCCGCGGCCCGCTATCTGACATCGGCCCGCAATCTTACTCTTGAGATGTTCTCTCGCCGCTCACGCGGCCATTTCCTATCTTTGGCATTATCGTTAATACGATACAACAAGCAAGGTTGGGTCTTCCAACTGGCTTTACACTGTCTTGGGCCACCTTCGGGTCATCTCGAGGCATCGTGGGGTAATCTTGGTGCCTGGCTCCCGCTGGTCCCCCGCTGCTGGGCCTCTCGGGGCCCTGCGAACTCAAGAGACTGACAAAGACCTCTGAAAGTGGTGGGCGGGGGAGGGGGAGAGGAGGTCGAGAGGGCGAGGTCGGGGCTAATCTTCCTGCGATAGGGCCCCTGGGGGTCCTTATGGGGAGTGTCGGAGCCCTCCCAGGGCTCTTTGGCGGCCCCCCTTGGGGCGACCACGAGGCCAAGAGGCCCTTGGGAGCCCGCAGAGGCAGGAACACCACAGTCATGTAAGACAAGTCTTTGTTTTAATACGATCCTGGACATATGATACCGGGAGAATTCGGAATGACTCTGGGGGCTATCCGGGGCCTCTCAGGGGCGCCTCAGGGATTTAGTGGGGCCACGTGGAGGGTTCGTAGGGTCTGTCTTGGACCACCTTGGAGTCGTCATGAGCCCTCTTGAGGCTGTCTTGGTGCTCTGGGGGGCTCTCTTGGAGCCCTCTTGGGGCCCTCTCTAGGGGCACCTGGGGCCCGCGGAGGCAAAAGGCCCCAAATCATTGAACTTCTTATGTTCTCCTATGTCTCTGACCACCCCCACCTTATGGGGTTCTCTCAGGGGCGCCTCAGGGATTTAGTGGGGCCACGTGGAGGGTTCGTGGGGTCTGTCTTGGACCACCTTGGCGTCGTCATGGGACCTCTTGAGGCTGTCTTGGTGCTCTGGGGGGCTCTCTTGGAGCCCTCTTGGGCCTCTCGGGGTGGGGCCACCACGGGGGCCCAGAGACCATTTGCAGCCCGCAGAGGCAGAAAGGCCGACATCATGGAACCTTTTTCATGTCTTTCCTGTGATGCGTAGCCTTTGGCTCAAGAGCTCTGCTGAGCAAGCGCACGCTGGCGCCAGCGCACGCCCCGAGGATCGCCGACCAGCCCTGCGCGGCCATGGCCCGCGCCACGCCGCCCGTCGCGACCGCCCGTGCCGCCCGGGCGCCGAGGCTCGCGCTGCTGCCGGCGCTGGCAGCGCTGCGGCTGACGGCCGCGGGCGCGGGGCCCGTGCCCGGCGAGAGGGGGCGCTGCTCGGCGGCGCTGGGCTTCAGCGGCGCCGCGGTGCCGATGGACAGGAGCGCGCCACCCACCAAACCGCCCCAACCCAACCCGAAGGCCCAAATTTACCCTTGATTTCCAGAGGGGGGGGGTGCGGTCGGGGAACATCGGAAAAAACACGTGGAGCCCGTGCCCCCGCCAACCCGAAACTTGGGTCTTCGGCTTAGGTTGGGGTGGTCTGGTAGGTGGTCAGGAGCGGTCAGGGCCTGAGGTTCTGCGCCGAGCACCACGGGAGGACGTGCTGCGAGGGCAACCATACCCGCGAGGCGCTCGTGCGCTACGCGCCGTTCTCCCACAGCGCCTCCGGCAGGTGCGGCCGGATGACCCGGCTCGCGATGTGCTCCCCGTGCGACGGGGATGTGGGCACCGGTCTCAAGTCGCAGTCGGATCGGGTCGTCCTCTGCCCCGACTTCTGCGCGCGCTGGTTCGACGCCTGCCGGGAGAGCTTCTACGAGGCTGGAAGGGCGGCGTCCGCGCTGTCGCCCTGTGGCCAGGACAGCCTGGTCTGCAGCCGGCTGGGCGAGATCACGGAGGACCCCCGTGGGTTCTGCGAGAGCATCGGCCCGTACGTGGTGGCGGACGGCGGGGAGCCAGACGCGTGCTACGACGGTGTGCCGGCCGCCAGCTCTCGCGGCAGGGGGCCGAAGGCCTGAGCGAGGGACCCCTTGCCACCGCGCAGGTGCCGAGCGGCGCCCCGCGGGAGGGCCAGCCGCAGCGGGGCCGGGGCTGCGCGCGCGCGCCTGGTGCGGGGGCCCGGGGGGCGCAGGGCGCCCCTATTTGGCAGAGGCTGCCGAAGTCAGCAGCTGCGGCGCCCGCGACGGGCCCGTGCACTCGACGGTCCCCCCTCAGCTTGGTCGGACGGGTGTCTCGAATTAGTTGTTTTTTGTTGAATGCAGGCTTGGTCGATCAGGCGGGCCCTCCCGCGATCAAGCCGCTGCGCCCACGGGCAGGCGGCTGAGGCCCAGCCGACCCTGGACAGATGGTGTGCGCTGGTGGCCTGTTTTTGTTGCGTTGCGCGGGCCTTGCGGCACCGCGAAGGCATTACACGCAAGACGTAGTTACTCAAAGACCCTCTCGCTGTACAGTCCCCGAGAGAAAGAGCAAACAAAAAGATGTTGCACCGATCAGGTGCTCCTGGAAAGCGTGCTGGCCCCCCGAGGTGATTCGGCCCCCTTTCCTTTCTCGAGGACGTCTCAAGCGATTCGGCAATCCTCATGTAATCCCCGCGCTCTGGCCTGCGGATGCCGTCATCGGGCCTCTTCGGACCAGCGGAATGCACGAAGCCGTTCCAAGCATGCATTTACGCATGCATCTCAATCCATACTCTTCCATATCTTGGTCAACCCGCGTGGGTCTGCACGGCGAGGGCCCGCAGGGGGACCGCCGAACATGGTTTGTTCGTTTGTTTCATTCCGCGGGCCCACATTGCGTCGTGCTTGCAATTTGCGTGCGTGCTCGTGGGCATTGGGATTTGTTGAGCGGTGGTGCCCCCATCTGTTGCGTGAAGCTCGCGTGGGGGAGAAGCTGCCGCTTGTCAGATTGAGTGCAACACTCAGCGGATCACGCCCCCAGCCGAGTCTCGCCGTCGAAGGCCAAAAGTACGAGAAGGCAATTTGAGAAGCCCTTTTCAGGGCTGTCGGGGTGTATTTGGGGGGTCTTTGGGAGGCTTCTGGAGGCGGCCTCCTGGGGTCCTCTCAGGGGCTCGTTCGGGCCTCCTGTGGGCCGCCTTCGGGCTACCTCGAGGTTTCTTGGGGGTTGTCTTGGGCCACCTTCGGGGTAACCTGCTAAGGTTGAGCCCGCTGGCTGCTGCCTTTCCTTTGGGATAGAGCTGTTTGGCTGAGTAAGGCCGGTAGCGGACTCACGCTTCGTCTTCTCCCCACCCCGACTCTGAAGGAGGAAGGGCAAAGGCGAGAGGTATCGAGCGTTCGTCCGCGGCCGCTTGGGCCCAAGCGACCAGCCGCCAATTTGACCGGGTCGCACCGCGGCCCGCTATCTGACATCGGCCCGCAATCTTACTCTTGAGATGTTCTCTCGCCGCTCACGCGGCCATTTCCTATCTTTGGCATTATCGCTAATACGATACAACAAGCAAGGTTGGGTCTTCCAACTGGCTTTACACTGTCTTGGGCCACCTTCGGGTCATCTCGAGGCATCGTGGGGTAATCTTGGTGCCTGGCTCCCGCTGGTCCCCCGCTGCTGGGCCTCTCGGGGCCCTGCGAACTCAAGAGACTGACAAAGACCTCTGAAAGTGGTGGGCGGGGGAGGGGGAGAGGAGGTCGAGAGGGCGAGGTCGGGGCTCATCTTCCTGCGATAGGGCCCCTGGGGGTCCCCGCAGAGGCAGGAACACCACAGTCATGTAAGACAAGTCTTTGTTTTAATACGATCCTGGACATATGATACCGGGAGAATTCGGAATGACTCTGGGGGCTATCCGGGGCCTCTCAGGGGCGCCTCAGGGATTTAGTGGGGCCACGTGGAGGGTTCGTGGGGTCTGTCTTGGACCACCTTGGAGTCGTCATGAGCCCTCTTGAGGCTGTCTTGGTGCTCTGGGGGGCTCTCTTGGAGCCCTCTTGGGGCCCTCTCTAGGGGCACCTGGGGCCCGCGGAGGCAAAAGGCCCAAAATCATTGAACTTCTTATGTTCTCCTATGTCTCTGACCACCCCCACCTTATGGGGTTCTCTCAGGGGCGCCTCAGGGATTTATTGGGGCCACGTGGAGGGTTCGTGGGGTCTGTCTTGGACCACCTTGGCGTCGTCATGGGACCTCTTGAGGCTGTCTTGGTGCTCTGGGGGGCTCTCTTGGAGCCCGCTTGGGCCTCTCGGGGTGGGGCCACCACGGGGGCCCAGAAGACCATTTGCAGCCCGCAGAGGCAGAAAGGCCGACATCATGGAACCTTTTTCATGTCTTTCCTGTGATGCGTAGCCTTTGGCTCAAGAGCTCTGCTGAGCAAGCGCACGCTGGCGCCAGCGCACGCCCCGAGGATCGCCGACCAGCCCTGCGCGGCCATGGCCCGCGCCACGCCGCCCGTCGCGACCGCCCGTGCCGCCCGGGCGCCGAGGCTCGCGCTGCTGCCGGCGCTGGCAGCGCTGCGGCTGACGGCCGCGGGCGCGGGGCCCGTGCCCGGCGAGAGGGGGCGCTGCTCGGCGGCGCTGGGCTTCAGCGGCGCCGCGGTGCCGATGGACAGGAGCGCGCCACCCACCAAACCGCCCCAACCCAACCCGAAGGCCCAAATTTACCCTTGATTTCCAGAGGGGGGGGGCGGTCGGGGAACATCGGAAAAAACACGTGGAGCCCGTGCCCCCGCCAACCCGAAACTTGGGTCTTCGGCTTAGGTTGGGGTGGTCTGGTAGGTGGTCAGGAGCGGTCAGGGCCTGAGGTTCTGCGCCGAGCACCACGGGAGGACGTGCTGCGAGGGCAACCATACCCGCGAGGCGCTCGTGCGCTACGCGCCGTTCTCCCACAGCGCCTCCGGCAGGTGCGGCCGGATGACCCGGCTCGCGATGTGCTCCCCGTGCGACGGGGATGTGGGCACCGGTCTCAAGTCGCAGTCGGATCGGGTCGTCCTCTGCCCCGACTTCTGCGCGCGCTGGTTCGACGCCTGCCGGGAGAGCTTCTACGAGGCTGGAAGGGCGGCGTCCGCGCTGTCGCCCTGTGGCCAGGACAGCCTGGTCTGCAGCCGGCTGGGCGAGATCACGGAGGACCCCCGTGGGTTCTGCGAGAGCATAGGCCCGTATGTGGTGGCGGACGGCGGGGAGCCAGACGCGTGCTACGACGGTGTGCCGGCCGCCAGCTCTCGCGGCAGGGGGCCGAAGGCCTGAGCGAGGGACCCCTTGCCACCGCGCAGGTGCCGAGCGGCGCCCCGCGGGAGGGCCAGCCGCAGCGGGGCCGGGGCTGCGCGCGCGCGCCTGGTGCGGGGGCCCGGGGGGCGCAGGGCGCCCCTATTTGGCAGAGGCTGCCGAAGTCAGCAGCTGCGGCGCCCGCGACGGGCCCGTGCACTCGACGGTCCCCCCTCAGCTTGGTCGGACGGGTGTCTCGAATTAGTTGTTTTTTGTTGAATGCAGGCTTGGTCGATCAGGCGGGCCCTCCCGCGATCAAGCCGCTGCGCCCACGGGCAGGCGGCTGAGGCCCAGCCGACCCTGGACAGATGGTGTGCGCTGGTGGCCTGTTTTTGTTGCGTTGCGCGGGCCTTGCGGCACCGCGAAGGCATTACACGCAAGACGTAGTTACTCAAAGACCCTCTCGCTGTACAGTCCCCGAGAGAAAGAGCAAACAAAAAGATGTTGCAAAAAGACCGATCAGGTGCTCCTGGAAAGCGTGCTGGCCCCCCGAGGTGATTCGGCCCCCTTTCCTTTCTCGAGGACGTCTCAAGCGATTCGGCAATCCTCATGTAATCCCCGCGCTCTGGCCTGCGGATGCCGTCATCGGGCTTCTTCGGACCGGCGGAATGCACGAAGCCGTTCCAAGCATGCATTTACGCATGCATCTCAATCCATACTCTTCCATATCTTGGTCAACCCGCGTGGGTCTGCACGGCGAGGGCCCGCAGGGGGACCGCCGAACATGGTTTGTTCGTTTGTTTCATTCCGCGGGCCCACATTGCGTCGTGCTTGCAATTTGCGTGCGTGCTCGTGGGCATTGGGATTTGTTGAGCGGTGGTGCCCCCATCTGTTGCGTGAAGCTCGCGTGGGGGAGAAGCTGCCGCTTGTCAGATTGAGTGCAACACTCAGCGGATCACGCCCCCAGCCGAGTCTCGCCGTCGAAGGCCAAAAGTACGAGAAGGCAATTTGAGAAGCCCTTTTCAGGGCTGTCGGGGTGTATTTTGGGGGTCTTAGGGAGGCTTCTGGAGGCGGCCTCCTGGGGTCCTCTCAGGGGCTCGTTCGGGCCTCCTGTGGGCCGCCTTCGGGCTACCTCGAGGTTTCTTGGGGGTTGTCTTGGGCCACCTTCGGGGTAACCTGCTAAGGTTGAGCCCGCTGGCTGCTGCCTTTCCTTTGGAATAGAGCTGTTTGGCTGAGTAAGGCAGGTAGCGGACTCACGCTTCGTCTTCTCCCCACCCCGACTCTGAAGGAGGAAGGGCAAAGGCGAGAGGTATCGAGCGTTCGTCCGCGGCCGCTTGGGCCCAAGCGACCAGCCGCTAATTTGACCGGGTCGCACCGCGGCCCGCTATCTGACATCGGCCCGCAATCTTACTCTTGAGATGCTCTCTCGCCGCTCACGCGGCCATGCCCTATCTTTGGCATTATCGCTCATACGATACAAGAAGCAAGGTTGGGTCTTCCAACTGGCTTTACACTGTCTTGGGCCACCTTCGGGTCATCTCGAGGCATCGTGGGGTAATCTTGGTGCCTGGCTCCCGCTGGTCCCCCGCTGCTGGGCCTCTCGGGGCCCTGCGAACTCAAGAGACTGACAAAGACCTCTGAAAGTGGTGGGCGGGGGAGGGGGAGAGGAGGTCGAGAGGGCGAGGTCGGGGCTCATCTTCCTGCGATAGGGCCCCTGGGGGTCCCCGCAGAGGCAGGAACACCACAGTCATGTAAGACAAGTCCTTGTTTTAATACGATCCTGGACATATGATACCGGGAGAATTCGGAATGACTCTGGGGGCTATCCGGGGCCTCTCAGGGGCGCCTCAGGGATTTAGTGGGGCCACGTGGAGGGTTCGTGGGGTCTGTCTTGGACCACCTTGGAGTCGTCATGAGCCCTCTTGAGGCTGTCTTGGTGCTCTGGGGGGCTCTCTTGGAGCCCTCTTGGGGCCCTCTCTAGGGGCACCTGGGGCCCGCGGAGGCAAAAGGCCCAAAATCATTGAATTTCTTATGTTCTCCTATGTCTCTGACCACCCCCACCTTATGGGGTTCTCTCAGGGGCGCCTCAGGGATTTAGTGGGGCCACGTGGAGGGTTCGTGGGGTCTGTCTTGGACCACCTTGGCGTCGTCATGGGACCTCTTGAGGCTGTCTTGGTGCTCTGGGGGGCTCTCTTGGAGCCCTCTTGGGCCTCTCGGGGTGGGGCCACCACGGGGGCCCAGAAGACCATTTGCAGCCCGCAGAGGCAGAAAGGCCGACATCATGGAACCTTTTTCATGTCTTTCCTGTGATGCGTAGCCTTTGGCTCAAGAGCTCTGCTGAGCAAGCGCACGCTGGCGCCAGCGCACGCCCCGAGGATCGCCGACCAGCCCTGCGCGGCCATGGCCCGCGCCACGCCGCCCGTCGCGACCGCCCGTGCCGCCCGGGCGCCGAGGCTCGCGCTGCTGCCGGCGCTGGCAGCGCTGCGGCTGACGGCCGCGGGCGCGGGGCCCGTGCCCGGCGAGAGGGGGCGCTGCTCGGCGGCGCTGGGCTTCAGCGGCGCCGCGGTGCCGATGGACAGGAGCGCGCCACCCACCAAACCGCCCCAACCCAACCCGAAGGCCCAAATTTACCCTTGATTTCCAGTGGGGGGGGGCGGTCGGGGAACATCGGAAAAAACACGTGGAGCCCGTGCCCCCGCCAACCCGAAACTTGGGTCTTCGGCTTAGGTTGGGGTGGTCTGGTAGGTGGTCAGGAGCGGTCAGGGCCTGAGGTTCTGCGCCGAGCACCACGGGAGGACGTGCTGCGAGGGCAACCATACCCGCGAGGCGCTCGTGCGCTACGCGCCGTTCTCCCACAGCGCCTCCGGCAGGTGCGGCCGGATGACCCGGCTCGCGATGTGCTCCCCGTGCGACGGGGATGTGGGCACCGGTCTCAAGTCGCAGTCGGATCGGGTCGTCCTCTGCCCCGACTTCTGCGCGCGCTGGTTCGACGCCTGCCGGGAGAGCTTCTACGAGGCTGGAAGGGCGGCGTCCGCGCTGTCGCCCTGTGGCCAGGACAGCCTGGTCTGCAGCCGGCTGGGCGAGATCACGGAGGACCCCCGTGGGTTCTGCGAGAGCATAGGCCCGTATGTGGTGGCGGACGGCGGGGAGCCAGACGCGTGCTACGACGGTGTGCCGGCCGCCAGCTCTCGCGGCAGGGGGCCGAAGGCCTGAGCGAGGGACCCCTTGCCACCGCGCAGGTGCCGAGCGGCGCCCCGCGGGAGGGCCAGCCGCAGCGGGGCCGGGGCTGCGCGCGCGCGCCTGGTGCGGGGGCCCGGGGGGCGCAGGGCGCCCCTATTTGGCAGAGGCTGCCGAAGTCAGCAGCTGCGGCGCCCGCGACGGGCCCGTGCACTCGACGGTCCCCCCTCAGCTTGGTCGGACGGGTGTCTCGAATTAGTTGTTTTTTGTTGAATGCAGGCTTGGTCGATCAGGCGGGCCCTCCCGCGATCAAGCCGCTGCGCCCACGGGCAGGCGGCTGAGGCCCAGCCGACCCTGGACAGATGGTGTGCGCTGGTGGCCTGTTTTTGTTGCGTTGCGCGGGCCTTGCGGCATCGCGAAGGCATTACACGCAAGACGTAGTTACTCAAAGACCTTCTCGCTGTACAGTCCCCGAGAGAAAGAGCTAACAAAAAGATGTTGCACCGATCAGGTGCTCCTGGAAAGCGTGCTGGCCCCCCGAGGTGATTCGGCCCCCTTTCCTTTCTCGTTCCCCGCCCTGCTAGGCGCGTCCACCCTCAAGGGTGGATGCTCCTCTCTCTTTCACTACTATAATCACACCCGGGGGATGATAAAAATCGGGGCTCGGGGGGATAATCAATTCTTTTTCCCAGCAGCTCGTACGTACGGAGGTAGGGATGGGATGGTTCCCTCGGAGGGCTTCAGAACTTGCATGTACGGATGCGATTCTCTAGTGATTGCACCTCGAGGCTCTCGGACCCCAGCACCTCGGTGTTGCTCGTCAGGGGCTTCGAGCTCGCCGTGTACTAGGAGGTCCTTGGCGGAGCGCGCCAAGAAGCCTCTCTTGCGAACTGTCTCGAAGCGTTCGCCCATACAGCCTCGGCACCCGCTGGAGCCGCTCATGCTGGGCAAGCACTTGGTGCACGCCTGGGCTGCCGCGAGAGCTTTTCCTGGGTGACATGGTGAGAGCCCCATAGCCCTGCCCCACGTTCTTAAGTTTGGAAAGCTGAAATGGTGAGAATCCTTTTACTTGCCACACGTTCGCGATAGTGCTGCTACTCAACATGAGAAGATATAAATTTCCATTCGTAGCTGCCCCGGTGATCACTAATGAAGTTCGGCCTGGCGGGCCCTTTCCCTCGACCAACTCTGTCTTGGCCCAGGAATTTCAACTCTCAGGTCTGAAGGGGGAATGCTTTATCATCCGGGGCGCTCGGTTATGTTTACCGACCAGGTGCTACAGTGCAAGTGACGTGCTTGAGGTGTCCGGGTGGCGCTCCCGGTGCAGCTCCTGGAGGCGCCATGTTGTTCGCGCAGGTACCAGTGAGCCGTGCTGCGCGCCTGGTGCTGTCCTGCGCGCTGCCCCCGCCGGCTGCGCTCTGGGCGGCCCCTCCCCGCGCTCTCGCCGCACCGCGTGCCGCCTCTGCAGCTCGGCGCCCCTGCCTGGCCAGCCCTGTGACCAGGCGCCCCCGCACCGCCAGGCGGTGATGCGTGCACCAGCCGCCTCGGTGGCTCCTCTCTATCCCCTGCTCTTGCCGCCCCCCGCCGCCTGGGCCTCCCCTGGCGTTGGCAGGTGGCTGCTCGCCCTGCTGCAGCGCTGCGGCAGTTCAGCAGCTCAGCAGCTCAGCAGCCCGTGGGCTCAGCACTGCAGCACGCGGTTCGCAGCCCCGTCTCCCGCCACAGACTCTCAGTCCGTGTCTGCATCCTGTTGGCGCCGTACTTTTGCAGCAAAGTCCGACGCTTACGGCTTCGCGACGGACACTTGGATATTCCCACTCATGTCGCTGTGGGACCGCGCGCCGCTTCTCCTGACGTGCTGGTTCGCTTTGCCCTACACTCTCAGCGCCTGCAGCCTTGGCTTCAGCCCCCAGGTGTGGTCGTGACGCCGCTCCGCGTCCACTGCCACGTTGCCCCAGCATCGGCTGGCCGCACTGGCCGCTCATCCTGGAACTCTTTCCACGGTGAGTGCCTCCTCCCCCGCCTGTTTTCTGCGACCGCCCTCTTCCTCCTTTGCTTGCTGCCTGCGAATTAGTACGCCGCGCGTCCCCAGCTAATAGGGCGCGAACGGATCTCTTCTACCGCGCTGCGACATAAAAGTGTGTTTGTTTTTATGACTCTGGCCATCTTGGGCTTTCGCTGGTGATCTCTGGAGGCTTTCAGGGGCCTTCCCGGGACCTCTCAGGGGCCTCTTGGGGGCTCCACGGTGTTCCTTGGGGATTGTCTTGGGCCATGTTGGGCCATTTGGTCATCATGGGGCCACTGGGGTCGCCTTGAAGCCATATAAGAGCCTGTCTCCCACTAGCCGCCGCAGGGGTTGCTCTTGGGCCATGCGGGATAATGTATGTAACCTTATGGGGACCCTCTACGAAGGGTTCGGGGCCGTCTTGGGGTTCTTCTGTAGCCCTCTTCAGACCATCTCGTGGCCTGAGAAGCCAACTGAAGTCGGCACAGACACGGAGGCCAACACAATCGAAAAACACATGGCTCTCCAAAAGACGGCTTTTTTGTGAGCATCCGGGGAATAGTTGTTTGGCCATCTTGGGCCGTCTGTGCAGTAAATCGGCCTGTCTTGGACCATCGTGTGGGCCATGTGGGGGGCCACCTTGGCACCAGCTCGGAACCATATTGGGGTCAGCATGGGGCCTGACACATTTCGGCCCGCGCTCTTGGGGCGTTTTCGGCCGCTCCTGGGGCGACTTGGGTCCAGCACGTTTAAGCCGTAGAGTCGTGAGGATGCTTGGGGCAGGGGCCCCTCCCAGGGGTAGGTTTGTGAAGGAGCTCCGAGCGGGAGCCGCTCCAGAGCAGATATCTCAGCGGGGCAGCGCGAGGGCACATCCTCCACATCCTCCTCATTCCTCGTCCTCCTTATCCTCCTCCTCCTCCTCCTCCTCCTCCTCCTCCTCCTCCTCCTCCTCCTCCTCCTCCTCCTCCTCCTCCTCCTCCTCATCCCCCTCCTCCTCCTCCTCCTCGCTCCTCCCTGTCGCACCCCGAAGCCGGTCGAAAGGGTGAGGTGGGCCTTTCGCTTGAGATTTGCTCACCATTTATGACCCCGAAGCTGAACAATGACAACCGCTTCGCAGATGGAGGGCGGGCCGTTTCCAATCTGTGGCTCTCGCCTTAGCGCCGCGCACATTCGCCTTCACAATGTGCAAGGGCTTCAAGGATTGAGGGCGGGCCGTTTTCAAATGTGGTTGTCGCCTCAGCGCCGTGCGCACTCGTTTGAAACATGTGCAAGAGCTTCAAGGATTGAGGGCGGCTGGTTTTCAAAATGTGGCTCTCGCCTTAGCGCCGCGCACACTCGGCTTACACATTTGCAAGAGCTTCACGGATTGAGGGCGGTTGGTTTTCAAAATGCGGTTATCGCTTTTGTGCCGCGCACATTTGCTCTAAGAGTTTGCAGGAGTTTCACGAATTCCGATGGTCAACATATTGGAAATGACGTTTTGGAAGTATTTAGGATTGTGAGGGCGCAACAGTTACGTCGATTCGCGGAGTTGGGGTCCTGGGAATTGCCTTCTGGCGCGATTCATGATTGTCAAGACGCAACAGTCAGGTTGATCCGTGGCGTTGGAGTCCCGAGATTGGGGTTCTGGCACGCTTCAGGGTCTGCAAACAGTTGTCTCCCACCGCGGCAGTTTCCTGGGTGGAAATGAACCCTTGCAGGGGCCAGTGAAGAAGGAGGTTGGAGAGAGGATTCATTCCGACATTGTTGATAAGTCTTGCGTTTACACAGGTCGTCCTCCTGCTGCTGCTGCGGCTGCTGCTGCTGCTGCTGCTGCTCCCAAAGGCCGCGCCTGACCTTGACATATCATAATGTGCGTGCTATGTCCAGGGCCCGACCCCGCCTGCCCACCCCTCCCAGGGCGCCCAGGGCGGGTCATTCTCCGACAACCAGCTTCGGCACCGCAAAGAACACGCGCGTGTCACCAGAAACAGTGCAATAGGAGCACATGTTTGGATTTGTCTTGAAAAAGCCCCCCCCGTGTCAGATAGCCAAATCCACGTCGGAACGGTGCTGAGTCGTTGTTCCCGTTCACAAGCACATGTCGTTTTCGTGGCCCTGCGCCCTCTGCACCCGCAGCAGGTTGTGCGGCGAGAGCCCGCATCCGGCGAAAGATGCGCAGCTGTGCTACCCAAACGCACGCCTTGCAAACGTGTTCCCGCCCCGCCCTCGGGCGTCGAGCAATGGCGGTGCGATATTGGGGGGGGGGTCGGGGTGCACCCCTTTTGTGCCCCAAAGGGGCCCGAGGACCAAGAGGGGCACGGAGGGTGCACGCCTCTCCCCTCAAGGTACCGCCCCCCCCCCTTCTGTCACGCCCAGCCGCCCCCTCTCCTGTGATGCCCCGGGGGCCCGCGAGGGGCCTCCCGAGGCCCAAGATGTGGCAGAGCCCGCTAGCGCAGTGGCTCGGGGGCCCCCAGGCGGGGTGGTGACCACACCGTCTGGTTCTAGGCCTCCTAGATGGCGTCGGAGTAGGTGGGGTCGGTCGGCGATGCATCGGCGATGCATCGGCGATGCGGCTCGATGTGGGGCCAAATTTTCTCTACGCCGACGTGGCCGATGCATCGCCGACGTCGCCAGTGCATCGCCGATGCATCGCCGATCCATTGACGATGCATCGCAGATGTATCGGCGATGCGGCGAGCTCCGTCGACCCCATCTACTCGGACCCCATCTAGGAGGCCTCCAGTGGTGGTCGGTGGGGATTCGGGGTCACCGCACGGTTTTGGGACTCGGGCCCCTCTCTGGGGATGTCTTGGGCGACAGGGGCCTCCAGGGTCCCAAGACTCTGCGGTGACAGACCGTGCGGTGAGGTCTCTTGGGGTTCCGAGGTCACCACACGGTCTGTCACCACACGGATTTAGGATCCCTAAAAAGTCGTTCGTTCTCTGGATGGATCTCTTCCACAACCGTCGGAGCCCCGTCCTCTCGTGGCGCGTGTTCTTCAACGGGCGAAGAACGGTATTAGATAAGCTTCTTCGCCGCTGGGGACGCCAGTCTCAGGGCGGCTGGAAAGTTCATACCCCTACGGTGGCAGGCACGTCAGGGTATGAACTGTCCAGCCGCCCCAGGACAGGCGCCACCGGTGACGGACAAAAACTATGGTACACCGCTCGACGGGAAACGCGTGCTGTGCCGCTCTTCGCCCGCTCAGCACTGAGCGGAATGTCAGAAGCCGAATCCCGCCGTGGCGACGAGGGTCGACCCTGTCTTTCTGTTGTACCCTTCGAGCCAGGTCGAGCTGTGATGGCCCCGGGGCCCGAGACCTGGCGAGCGCGCCCGGCGGCCAACCCCTTGCAACGCCCGGGCCTCGGGGTTGCTCTCGGGAGGGGGCAAAGCACACAGACACCATAGTAATCCTCGATCCCGCGGAGAATATGGGAAAATATGGGAAGTGGGGGGGGGGGGAGACGAAAGCCCAGAAAATGTTCTGAAATATGGGGAGTCCTGGGATGTGTGTGTGTGTGTATTTATTTGTGTGCCCCTGGGCCCCTTCATGCTCCCTCCTGCCCAGCGCCCTCCCGCCCTCCCACCTCCCCTCCTCTCCCCTCCTGCCCTCCCGGTCTCAGGGCTGTCCCCTCCCTCGGGGGCAACGATAGGGGGGATAGGCATGGGGGGGGATGCATCGACCCCCAATCGCCCATTGATCGCCGATAGGGGTTTGACAGCCCCAACCCGACCAGGAATGTGCGGATTCACTATCGGGGGGATTCCACGTCGATGCGTCCCCCTCTATGCCAGTCCCCCCGTGTCGTTGCCCCCCACTCCACCCCCCCTCCCTCCCGTGGCCGCTGAAGAGCAATCCCCCCTGCTCCTCCGCGTCCGTGGTGGCGATCCCCCCCCGCCCCCTCTCCACCGCTGGGATCCAGGAACAGGAGGAGGAAGGAGGAGGGAGGGAGGAGGGGAGGAGGAGGAGGAGAGGACGAGGAGGAGAGAGGAGGAGGAGGAGGAGGAGGGAGGAGGAGGAGGAGGAGGAGGAGGAGGAGGAGGAGGAGGAGGAGGAGGAGCTAGGAGGAGGAAGAGGAGGAGGAGGAGGAAAAGGAGGAGAGGAGGAGGGAGGAGGAGCCGCCCTCCCCCCGCCGTGCCCTCCAGCGATGGGCTGGCTGCTGTCCGGGGGGCGCTCGCCGGCGGGCCTCCGCGCCCGGCAGGGCAGCAGCGAGGCGGCGGGCGGGCTGGTTTCGATTCCTCCGGTTCGATGCGGCTTCGATTTCGATGGCTTCCGATTCCGTTTCGATTTCGATTTCGATGGTTTTCGATTGCGATGGCTTCCGATTCCGATTCGATTCGATTTGGGGTTCCGATTTGGGCTTTGATCTATTATCGGAGGCATACTAGCCTGCCGATTTCTGTCGATTCGACTTTTCCCGACTCGGCTGCCGATTTCCGCCGATCCGATTCATTTCGATCGCCGATCCGACTTGTCGATTCGATTCTGGGCTCTCTCTCTCCCGCTCCCAGCTCAGGCAATGCCCAGGGGGTTCGCCTCCAGGGGGGGGGGCACCGCTTCCTCCCCTGAGCTCCGACGCTCCCAAATAATCGGAGCCGGCGGTTGTTGGCCGTTCTCGGCCTCTGGGGGCCTTCGCCGGGCCCCGGGCGCGTCAAGAAACGACTCAAGGCAAACAGCCGGCCCTGGAGAACTCCTCCAGGGCCGGCCCTGGAGAATTTCTCCATCAATAGCCCAAACGCCAACCACAGAACAACACGGAACATCAGAGCAATCACGTGGCCAGAACGGCGCAACGATAGTGGCACAGCATCCGGCTAGCTTCTTCTGGCACCATCTTTGGCCCAACCTCTGGCTGTTTAATTCTTCGACTTCTCAATGGAGAAGTGGTCTGGACCTCCGGGGTCCACGCACCAAAGAAGTTGGAGCAGCTGGCTGTCTGGGTCCCGAGGATCGGGGATCCAGGATCGATGCTCGAGGAGGTTTTTATTGGACGTCTGGGGTCGTCATTCGGGTTGACCCAAAAGGGGGTCCAGCGACAAAGGGATCGTGCAATAGATTTGGTGAAATGGCTTTGTGGGGTTGCAATACATGTTGGGGTGTGCAACACATTCCAGGGCGCAAATGCATTGCTGGATTCTCGCGTGCAATACATTCCTCGCAATACAATGCAATACAGGTCTCCGGCGCAATACATTCGCAATAGAACTGCCCCAAATCTATTGCCCCACCCCGTTTCAGTTGGACCCCCGTTTGGGTCACCCAAGTCGTCGGGGGCGCTCCTGGAGCGCTCCTGGAGCCCACGCCCTCGAGGAGGCGGCCGTTCCTTTAGGAAGTGGCGACACCCCTGGTGGTGACCCCTTTGGCAGTGCACCCCCCCGCAGACCCCCTCGAGTCATGAAAAAATAACGGCGCGAGGTTTTTCATTATTTTTGGCCTCCAGAATCCTTTGCCGGGCCCCGGGACCGTCAGAAAACGATTCGGGATGAAAAACCGGTCCCAGGGGATGGGTCGAGTTCTCTGAAGTCGAAGTTGTGAAAAATAATCATGCCGTCGGGGGTTTGGGATCCCTGCCCTCGGAGCGAAGGCGGAGTCTTCAGCAAGCTCGGGGCGGACGAGAGGTGGAGGTTGGGAAAGGTCAGGGGCAACGTCAGTCGAAGAAGATAAAATTACATGATCTCTTGGATCTGCGTTGGACCCCCTGGGCGGCGCCTCCAACGCCGCCACCAGCGCGCTCCGCGCGCCATGGAGGGGAGGTCCAGCGCAGAAACACGAAATCTCCGCGGACCTCGGAAAGCTTATGTTTGTGCAGCCTTCTTTCCCTGTGATAGGGCCACGGGGGAACGTATCGACCCCAGTCGCCCATTCATCGCCGACAGGGGCCTGTTGCCTATCTATCGGCGATGTATCGCTTGATGTTTCACCCCCTAACCTGGTGCCCCCTGACTTTGCCCGTCAACAGAGGGGAGGTCCAGTGGGTTCGTGTCGTGTCGACGTGGCTGCGATCCCAGCGTGGGCGTTCAAGGTTGAACGCCGCCAGTGGCCAGGAGTCGGCCAGTATGGAACGATCTGACGTTACGTCGGGCCTGTCCCTCTGCAGGGGGAAGATTCAAAGATAGTCAAAAAATAGTCGGGGGACTGTTTTCTGAATATGTTTGAACATTTTGAGGGCATTGTTTGTGCATGTTTAAAAAAATCCGCCTGTAGGGGGACACGCCCGACCTAAATCTGGCGATAGATAACCCGCCGATCGTTCAAGGTTGAACGATCCACGCGGTGTCAGAAACCAACGCCAGGGTCGTTAAGACACGAACTTGCAGTACGAAATCTGCAGCATGCGTTATGATGTCCCGACCTATTTCAGCCTTGATCACCAGAAAGGATTTCGATCACCAGGAAAGTACCAGACTTGGGGGGTTTCACGTGTCGGGCCCTGGGAGGTGATATTCGTTCGACACTTCGCTAGCGTGTCGGGCAGACACTGTTTCGATACCTTTTCTGGGTGCTCGAACGTACTTGATTGCTTCGCTCATTCCGCTGGCCCATATTGCCTCGCCGCTGTCGTGTCGGGGTGTTGTTGTCAATGCGGTGCGGTTGGGCGGCTGCCATTTTTCGGAGGCTGTAGGTGAAGGTTCAGAGGCCTCACGGATGTTGGTTGGGCTCTCGTGGTTTGCCTCTCAGGAGCCTCTGGGAGGCAGTTTTGAGGCCTCTTGGGGGCCGTGTTGGGGCCTCTTGGGGCCTCTTGGGGGCCTCTTTGGGCTTCTTGGGGTGCCTCTTGTGGGCCCCTTGGGGACTCTTGGGAGCCTCTTGGGGCCTCCTGGGGGCCTCTTGGGGCTGAAGGCTGGACTTTCTGGTTCCTGGTCCTCTTCTTGGGCCCCTCTTGGGGCCGTTTTGGGGCTCTCTTGGGCCGTTTTGGGCGCCTCTTAGTCTGTCTTGGGGCCGCTTCTGGCATCTCTGACGGGCACTTGCCGGGGACTTGCCAGGACCTTGGCGGGGTACTTGTCGCGTCGGGGCCCCCAGGGGCCGCCCCGCGCGCGCGAATTTGTTATATTGTTAACTTGTTACCGGAGATCTTAGCACCCCTCTGGCCCGTTGGACGAGCGAATTGCTGGGATTCGGTCTCTAACTGAGATGGAAGCCCCATAACGCATGCAAGTGATTCTCGACTCCCCTTCTTTTATCCCCCCGATTGGAGTGAGCGAGGTCTGCAGAAAGCCCACAGTCAAAGCCGACAGTGCATATTCGAAGGAACATAAGACAACATAAACATGTGAGCGACCGTGGACCCCAAACAATGAGTTATTGCACTCTGAGTGTGTGTGTGTGCTATGTGGTTCAGGCTATGGTATGCCATGTATGTGGTGTAAGCCGTGTGGTTTACGCTGTGTGGTGCAAGCTATGTGTTCTTGGCTATGTGCTGGAAGTTATGTGATGCAATCTGCGTGATGCAAGCCATGCGGTAGTACTACTACTCGTCACTACCGAGTAGTAGTACTAGTCGTAGTAGGGTCACACATGGTCTTCGTGTCTGACCGCACGTGACTTTCGTATACTATAGAATGTACAGCGACACTATCGGATCCCTATTGGAGAATTAAGGAAAACGCCAGTTTCACACGTCACCTTCGCGTCGCTTGCACCACACGTTACCTTCGTGTACTATCCATGAGTAAGCAAGCATATCAGGGCCTTATTACGAAATACAAAAAAAAACAGTTTCACACGTCACCTTCGTGTCGCAGCATTTAGAGCATGGTTCCAATAGAAATACAAGGGGTTCTGGGGGTAATGTTTCCCATTGTCCATTAAAACGGCCAAAACTCTGGCCGACACCCGTGCGGCACCCCCGGGATTCCTAGGAATTCAATAGGACGTGGCCGAGTTCCAGCTTCCAGCCGAATTCTTTAATGTCTGATTGGCTTTCGAATGAGAATTCAATCGAAAACTGTCGAGTCCCAGCCTCCAGCAGAATTCCCTACTCATTGCTATTGGTTTTTGAATCGGAATCCAGTAGGAAACATTCCTCGGAATTCAGGAGGAGGAGAAGGAGGAGGAAGAAGAAGAAGAAGAGGAGGAGGAGGAGGCGGGGGAGGAGGAGGACGAGGAGGAGGAGGAGGAGGAGCAGGAGGAGCAGGAGGAGGAGGAGGAGGAGGAGGAGAGAGCCCGAGGGGGGGTCCGCGGTCCCGCGCCCCCCCCCCCTCCGCGCAGCCACCTGGGCGGCGTGCACGCGCGCCGGCGCCGTGCATGCCAGCGCCGGCCCCGCCGCAAGGAGGGCGGGGAGACGTGCCGAGAGCCATGCTCGGAGGGGGGAGGACGGGAAGGAAGGAAGAAGAAGGGAGGGAGGCAGGGAGGGAGCGCCCACGGTGCACTTGCCTCCTCCCGCAGGAGGCAAGAAAGGCTCAGCCAGGCACCATGACTCCAAGGTAAAGCGTGCGTGCCCCTCTGAGCCATCCTGAGCCTTTTGGATTCGGAAGGGGGAGGACGGTAAGGAAGAGGAGGGGAGGGGGGAGGATGGGAAGGAAGAGGAAGGGAAGGGGGAAGGGAGGGAGGGAGAGAGGGAGGCTGGGGGGGACGAAGAGTGAGGAGCGCGGAAACACTAAAACGGTGAGGCGAGAGCACGGTGATGTGAGCCTGCGCGCGCGCGCAGGACTGCTCGGTCGATCGCGCAGCTCGGACGCCCCCAGTCTGCATGTACCGCGGAGCTGGAGCAGTCTGCGCACATCTTCGCGAGCGCGCGCCCGTGGATTCTGCCACAGCGCGCTGCGCAGGCAGGCCGAGCGCCCCCCAGTAGAAGCACCGAGGGCTGCTGCACGACACGGCTGCCTCCAGTTCAGGAGCGAAAGAAGGACGCACACGTACATGAATCCACGTTGGTTTCGAAAGCACGCGTTGCGCGAACGTTCGTATCACGAGGTTGGTCTTGCGTACTGGGGGCCGTGTTCATGTACGTGGTTGGGCGCGTACGTCTTCTGTGGGCTCCCTGCCAGTGGGACCCACCGCGTGACATCGGACGTGCCATCCAGGGGCGGGGCCCGGGTCTCGATCGCCCCGCCCCCTGGCGGCGAAGGCCTGCGCCCCCCTCGTGGCGCGCCGGCGCCCACCCCCCCTGCGACCTGCCCCTGGCGGCCGCCCCGCCGCAGTCCCCCTCCTCTCGCCCTCCCTCGCCCCCCCCTCGCTCTCTCGCCCTCTTTCGCCCTCTCTCGCCCCCTCTCCACCCTCTCGCCCTCATTCGCCCCCTCTTCACCCCCTCGTCCTCCTGCATAGCAGTGTGTGCTTAAGCTTTGGCGATCGCTGCTCTGAGTCGCAGCCCCCCCGTTGGGCGCGAAGCACGAGCGGCGGCCTCCGCGAGGCCTGCGCTGCGCACTCTGCTAGTGCACGGCCGCGGTTCACGCGCGCCCACGTGCTCCCTCCGCTGTGGCATCGAGTGCGCCGGGCCAGTCTGGCACCATGAGCGAGTGCGAGGTGTCCTTTGGGGAGTTCACGCCATCTGCTAGCAGCGGCTTCTCCTCCTCGTCGCCGTGGGCGAACCTGGAAAATTTCAAGGAGCAGCAAGCCGCGTTCACGGACGGCGACCAGATGCAGGCGTTCACGGACGGCGACCAGATGCAGGCTGGCTTGTATGGCGGTATTATCTTCTGCATGCCGGTTATACAGTCTTGGGGAGTTGACGACGGTTGGCTGCACCAGGAGCCCCTGGCGACGCCATGGGAAGCCTACTGCGATGGTTTCCCCTGCGCGGTGTGCGAGGACGCAGCCGCGGGCGCAGGGATGCCCGAGGCCCACACCGCGCCGCAGCCGCCGAGAAGATGCAGGGCGCGCAGCGCGGCGGCGCCGCCGCCGCTCGCACCAGCTGGAGGCGAGCCCGAGGAGCCCGTGGAGCCCATGCCGGTCAGGCGCACCTTCATTCACTTTGATACCAGCGACGGCAGGGGGCCCGTGGAGCCTGCCGACGCCGAGCCCGCTGCGAGCTCGGCGATCCGGAGCGCTTCGGCTCCACCGCTGCTGCTGCGGCGGACGTTCTGCCTGCGCGACCCCAGGAAGGAGGAGGCCCACAGGACCGGCGACTGCAAGCCCTGCGCTTACTTCCTGTACAAGGAGGACGGCTGCCGCTTGGGCGACGAGTGCAGCTTCTGCCACTTGTGCGTGGACGGCGAGGTCGAGAGGAGGGGATCCCCTACGGGGTCCCCCACGAAATCCCTACGCGGCCCCTGTCGGGTCTCCCACGGGGTCCCCATACGGCATCCCTACGGGGTCTCTCTTGCGGGGTTCTCTGCGGGGTCTCGTGTGGGGTCCCTGTTGGGTCTCCTACTGGGTCCCATGTGCCCCCCCCGCCCCTTCACTCTCCCCCTCTCCTGATGGCGCCCGTCTCCTTTCTTACCGAGGGGGGATCGCGGGGGGGGGCTGCAGGAGAGAGTGATCCCGCAGGGGGTCTTCGCAGGGACCCGGGCTGGGGGAGATCTGCAGGGAGAGACATCGCAAGGCTTCTGTGATGGCCCCGAAGGTCGCGGCCCTGGCCCCAGGGGGGGTAGATCTAGGCTTGGGGTGTCGGCTGTGTGGGCGCGAGAACTTGGACCGACACAGTCCGGGGTCTCGTGGCCCAGCACTGGTTCTGGCGAGCGGGAAGGGCAGGCAGCTCGAGGTTCTGGATTCGTTTTTGCCTTCTTCGGCCTCCGGGAGCCGTTTTCGGCCCCCTGGACCGTGTAAACGGATCCGAGGTCACAAACTACACTTGATGGACCTAGGGAGGGGTCTTGAGCCGTCTAGGGCCCCAACCATTTCAGACCTCCCAGACGCTTCCCACCAGGGTGTGGGTGTAGACCAGGGCCTCTGGCTTGCTCGTGGAACTGGGGCGATGTGGGATCGTAGGCTCAGCCCCGGGCATGGATCTGAGATTCGGCGCTGGAGGCGGAGCCGGGACTGGCCGCAGGTCTTGAAGTTGACCCGGGGTGCTCGTCCTGCCCAGGTCTCAGTCCGAGGCCCGAGGCCCAGATCTAAGCGGAAGCACCGAGTGGGGCCTCAGGTTGCCCAGACCCTCGTGCCGTGGTCTCTCCCCTGCCCCAGGTGTAGATGTGGACCCTCCGCTGCTGGTTACGCCCCGGCCCCTGGTCTAGATCTACACCCAGGGCCCAGTCCACGACCCCCCCCCCCCGCGTCCGTGCGTTGGTCAGGTCCTGGCCACAAGCGTAGATTGGGTTTTTCTTCCTTTCGTTTCTCCCAGGTGTCCCTGGCCATCGCGCTCGCAGGCCAGTCGAGGCCCCAGGTTCAGACCTGGACGCGGGACTGGGTCCGAGACCTTTTTCCACGATGCCCGTCACTCCCCCGCCCCTGTTCCCGATAGATTCTCGGGACCCGGTCCACGACAGACAGGCGCACACACACACACACACACAGACACGCGCACATGTTGTTCCATGTTCCGAGCAGCCTCCAGCCCCCAGGTCAAGAGGAGGAAGAAGGAGAAGCACAGGGTCATGAAGATGCAGACACGGTGCGCTCGCCGCGGGCGGCAGTGCCGCCCAGAGCGCTGATATTGAAGCCGAGCTGGACGATATAGATGCTTGACGAGGCTTAGTTGTTGTGGTACTGTTCTTCGCTGCGTTGTGGCCGCTGCGGCCGTTGTGTATTAGATGTAAGAGAGCTTGCCTGTGGTGTGTGTGCTGGCCGTGACCTGTTGTGTTGGGCCCTTTCAGCGGCAACGGTATAGGCACGTACGATATGCCTGCCGATGCATTGTACAACTCGTTTGATTTTTGTTATATTGTCGGAACGAGTCCAGATCGTTCCTTCTCTTCCTCCTCTTCCTCGTTCGGCAGAAGCCATGTGCAATCGCATGGACGGGTTACTCCGTGTGCGAGAAAAAACCGAAGGAAGGTAGTCGTGCAAGAAGAAAGGGGAATCATGTATACGCGCTTGGGAATTTCGGTCGGATAGTCAGCATCGCCGTATGTGTTGTTACATGGCTGGGGCGCACGTGTTGTGGCACGCTGTTGGAAGCTGCGCAGGAGTAGAACGGATACGTGCGGTTTAAGTATTGGCGGTTCGTGTATCCCTACTAGCCCATCCAAAAACAGACACCAGGCGAGTTGCCTTGATCATGGATTTGTAGCAGCATGCGGCCCGGCAGTGAACTGGGTCGTCTTCGCAGATATTCTATTTTCGCAAGCAGGGAGCGACAAGCAACCGTTCAAGCAATTTTTACGCAACAGGGAGCGTCTTGGAGGCTTGGGGCCCTCTTGGAGCCATCTTTGACGCCTATTGACCCTTTGGGGGCTCTCTCGGGGCCCTCTTGGGGCGATCTTGAGGTTCTCTTGGAGCCCTCTTGGAGCCATGTTGGAAACCTCTTGGAGCCATTTTAGAAGCTTCGGGGGCCTCTTGAAGCTCTCTTGAGGCCCTCTTAGGGCTCTCTCAGGGCCCTCTTGGAGGCAGTCTTGGAGCCATCCTGGAGGTCATCGATCAAAGAAGAGGGGGGTCCTGGGACCCTAACAAGGTCCCCCGTGGGGGCCCGGAAAATCGCTTCTTGGAGCCCTCTTGGGCCGCTCTTGGCGCGGTTCATGGGCACTCTTGGGGCCGAATTGGGCCTTCCTGGACCCTTTTTGGGGCCATCTTGTTTGAGGAAGCTTGTCTTGAGAACTCACGTCATCCTGACCCACGGCGCGCGAGGGAATGGGCCCGCCAACCGCCCCCCTTGTCCCGTTTCCAGGAAATCCGGGACGTCTGGCGACGACTTCCAAACCAGCGCCCTCGCGTGGGACATCCTCAGACAATTGGCCCCGCAAGCCTCCCCAAGGAGGCCCTCAGAGGGCCTTTTGCTTTGATCCCCAGAAATTGGGAAAATCCGGGAAGTCCATCGACCAATTCCACACCAGCGCCCCTTGCGTGGGGCAACCTCAGAAAACCCCCCGAGTCCCCAAGGAAACCCTTGCCCCCTGTTCCATGAAGTTCAGGATATCTAGCGACGAATTCCAAACCAGCGCTCTCGCGTGGGACATCCTCAGAAAACCGGCCCCCGAGCCTCCCCAAGGAGGCCCTGAGACGCGCGCCAGGGCGCACCGGGCGTGTCCGAGTCCAGGGCTCTCGCTCGAGACATCCTCCCAACGTCGACCCCGGGCGCGCGAGAAAGTCAGGCCTCACAGCGTCCCCGAGGACTATTTTCGGGTGTCACAGTTTGGGGCTCTTGCTCATGACATCGTTCCAGAATCGACCCTCGACGTGCGATAAAATCCAGCCTGGGATCTGACCGCGCGTGACGGCGTTTCCCAATCTGGGCTTCGTTCCCGCTCGAGACACCCTCGCAAAGTCGTCAAATCGCCCCTCGAGGAAGGCCCCCGGCGACGATGACGAGGATGAGTAGGGAGGAAAACGTACGAGGACGGAGGAGGGGAGGAGGAGGGAGGAGGGGAGAGGAGCAGGGGGAGGAGAAGGAGGAGGAAGAGGAGGCGGAGGAGGAGGAGGAGGAGGAGAAGGAGAAGGAGGAGGACGGGGAGGAGGAGGAGGAGGAGGAGAGGAGGAGGAGAGGAGGAGGAGGAGGAGCAGCAGGAGCAGGAGCAGGAGCAGGAGCAGGAGCAGGAGGAGGAGAAGGAGGGCGGGGAGGAGGAGGAGAAGAAGGAGGAGGTGGAGGACAAGGAGGAGGAGGAGGAGGAGGAGGAGGTGGAGGCGGAGGAGGAGGAAAAACCTCCAGGGACCACACGAGATTTACAGGGAGGATGTGGAGGAGATGGAGCAGGTTTTCAGCATGGGAGCGGGAAGGGCTGGATGTCACCGCCTCCCGCTCATCCTCTTCTCGCCCACAAGCACACGCCCCTTCTTCTATATACAGAAACTCCCGATCAACCGCAGAGCGGCCAGCTAGTACTAATTTCCGATTATCAGGGCACGTCTTCTTTCGAGCCAAGATGATTGCGACACGACCTCAAGCTAGGAATATCTTTGAAACAGTTTGTCTGGATCACCTCTGCATTCGCATATGTAATGTTCTGCGCTCTGAGCTGTACAATACCATAACACGGCCTAGGCTTGAATATTGGCATGCTCCCTTCAGCTAGAGGGCATACAATCCCGAAGCACGGCCCCAGGAAGTGTTTCACAACCTAGCCAAAATCATCCGCCGAAATTGTCGGACGTACATGCGTTCGCATTGTAGTTTCTGCTTCACGTGATTTTACCAGCGCTTGTGATCTGTCCTGCCAAACGGGCAGACACAGACTTGGGTTGATACCTTCGCGTTGGCTTGATCTGGCACCGTCTGAGTATCCACAGGAAAAACTGTGAGCAAAGGCGTGGTGCGGTCCCTCGAACTGTCGTCGCAGAATGTCCCTTGCAACGCAAAGAACATATAGAAAACTGCATTACACTCATGTGTAGCACCACTGCTGAAAGCGTCCATAGAACATCTCCATTGGACTCAGTCGTCGTCTCCGTCGTGGTCGCCCGAGCTGTGTGTGTCAGTAGCTCTGTAATCACAACTTTGCCAACCGCACTCCTCGCACCACCCGTGGCACGTATGACCGCCTCGGGGTCGACCAGGGTGTTGATCGGAAATAGGCACGTCTTCTCACTGAACTTCTTGACCTCGGCCGAGCTTGGGACTTCCATTAGCATGTCAGCTGGGTTATCATCTCTTGGAACCTTCTTGGGAATGAAGCCGCCTCTGGACCAGGATGATTGCGAGACGAAATCAAACGCGTGATAGTTCTGAAACAATTTCTCTGGATAAGCTTTGCATTCACACGGATCATGCTATGCACCCTGAGTTGTAACAAAAAACAAAGCATTGCCTAAGCTACAATCTTCACATATCAGGTAATCTTGGAGTCATCTCGAGGCCTCGAGGGCTAACCGGAAGCGAAAAGACCAGAAGGGAAATCAACAAATTAACAGCACGAGGGTGTTGAAGGACGTTGGCCTCCCGGGGGCCTCCTTGGAAGACTCGCAGGGCGCTTGGTACTGTCCTGGGGCGGTCTTGAGGGCATGTTAAGGCATGTTGGAGGCTATCTTGAAGTATCTTGGGACATCTTGAGCGATCTTGGAGGTCGTCTTGGGCTCTATGGAGCCCTCTTCGAACCACCTGGTGCCAACAAGGACCCTCTGACACCTCGCGGGCGGGCGGGTTCCCGACCCAGGGGGAGCGGGGAGGGGAGGGGGGACGCCTCTCCCTGAAGGGAAGAAGCGGGTTAGCAGAAAGAGCTCGTTAGACCATTCACGCCGTAAAGGGCTGGTGGGGTTTCCAGCCCAAGTGTTCTGCACACATGTTTTATAGCACTGGGGGAGGTATATATACATAGAGAGAGAGGAAAATGAGAGAAAGAGACAGACAGACGGACAGAGCGAGAGAGAGAGAGAGAGTCAACAAAAAACAATATCAAAAGAGAGACGCAGAGAGAGAAAGAGGAGGTGAAAAGCGGGTAAGGATGCGAACATTTGATGAGAATAGTCTCATTGGTCTCCTATTTGTGAAAGGCCAAGGCCTCAACCTAGGCACAAAGTCTACAGCCACAGGCAAAAAGCGGCCATGCTGAGACTCATCGCAAGATAAAGCGACGAAGAGGACCGACGAAGGTCAGAGCAGGGAGGGAGGACGGGCAGTTCTAAATTGGCGGGCGCAGACATTCGCCAACGCAGCATGCATCAATAATACAATGTAGCGTGAGCGGGCACCGGATGCGCGCAGATAATTGCAGGCCCATTGATTTCGCTAGCGGTGCAGGGCGATGAAAGTCGTCATTTCATGTGTGCATTGTTTTGCCAGGCAGGTGGGGAGAAGTGGGATGAGGACATTGAATATTGGATGGCGGAACGTTTTGCCAAACACGAGGGAGGTATTGCGGAGGTGAGTAGGGGAAGGATGAAGGATGGGGATGGGATTGAGGACGCAGGAGATGGCAGCGTTGAGGAAGGATGAGCAGAAGGATGTCGAGAGGGATATAGGACGGAATGGGGACGCTGAAGGGGAGCGAGGCGGGCGGAGGGGGGGACGGCGGAGGGCCGCAAGTGGCCTGGCGCTTCTGCACGACAGGCCGTGTGTCGGCCGCGCGACAACGGACCAGAGCTCCGAGTCCGACGGCTCCTTGCCCAATGATCGAACCGAAACCACTGCCGTTGCGGCCCGAGGAGGAGGAGAAGGCGGAGGCGGAGGCAGAGGAGGCTGAGGAGGCTGAGGAGGCTAAGGAGGAGGAGGAGGAGGCGGCGGAGGAGGCGGCGGCGGAGGCGGCGGCGGCGGCGGAGGAGGCTTAGGAGGAGGAGGCGGCGGAGGAGGCGGCGGCGGCGGCAGGAAGGGGGCGACAGGGGTGCACGGAGGATCACGGAGGGGGGGCGGGGCAGGAGTTGTGCCGCGCTTGGACTCCCGGGCCACGCCGCGGCGCGGCACGACGGATGGCTGGTCCTCGCCGCTGTCGGGTCCGCCCAGCGCGAGCGCTCCATCGACAGGCGAGCGCCGTCGTCGTCATCTTCGTCGTCGTCGTCGTCGTCGACGCCATCGTCCTCGTCGTCGTTGTTGTCCTCGTCCTCGTCGTCGTCGTCCTCCTCGTCGTCGTCGTTCGTCGTTGCCGTCCTCGTCGTCCCCCGCGCCGCAAACGCCCCCCATCCAGAGCGGAGGTCGCCACGCAAGGCGTGCCCGTCGGGCAGGGGGCGTCGTCGTCTTCGTCGACGGACGGCGACGGGCGGCGACGGGCGGCCGCCTGCCGATGGAGCGCCAGCGCTGCATCGGCAGGCGTTCGCGGCCTCATCGTCGTCGACGTCGTCGTCGTCGTCGTCACCACCCTTCTCCCTGGGGCGCGCCGCCAGCCGATCGGAGCCTCTGCTGCGCCGAGGCCGCGAGGGCCGCTCCAGCTCCCGGGCCGCGCGGCCGACGCCTCCCCGGCGCTGGGCCGCCACCGCCGCCGAGCGCGATGAGTCGCCGCACACCCCGCCCGCGGCGCGGCTGCCCGCCGCGCGGCTGCCGAGATGGGAGGCAGCCGCGCAGCGCGCGCGTCGGCGGCGCACGCAGGGGGGATTGTTCGCTGCATTTCGCCCTTGATTCATGTCGTCCGCTTCATATGTCGTCCGTTTCGATGCGTCCGCTCAGGTTCGTCCGCTTCGATTCGGTCGTTCTGGTTCGGCCAGTTTCAGCTTGTCCGGGCGTCGACAGAGGTCGAAACAAAAGAGGGCGAATTGAATGAGGACGAAACGAAAGCGGACGACATGAAAGTCCACCCGCAGGGGGGAATCGGAGGTCTGGAGGGTGGCACTACCACCATCATCGGCGGTGTGCCTCCACCGCGGGAAGATGATCCCGACCTCGGTGATTAGTGTTGGTGAACAGTTTCAAGCCTTCAAAGGGGAGGCGTCAGAGGAGGTAAAGGTACCCATGCCAGTACCCTCTCCTCGCTGTCGCCCTTTTGGGCATCCTGGGAGGCCCTCGTCATCACGGCTGGATTCGCGTCGAAGTCTTGGCCAGAACGCGCCCCTGGAGAGGTCTGGGGAGTAGCCGTATCGGTACTTCTTGGTTTCCCCAAGGGGGGGGAGGAGGGGGGGGAACGCCTTTGTCTCCTCGGAAGCCCCCCGCAGTTTTGGAAGGCCTCCCCCCACGCGCACCCCCCTTTGCGCGCGCCGCCAAGTTTGTGAAAGGAGGATCCAGGGAGGAAAAACCACCCAGACCCGACAATTGGCGTTCACTAGTCGGCTTTGGGCGTTTGTTAAATAGCCTTGCCCTGCTTGATTCCTTCTTTGGGCGCGTTTACTAAACGAACTCGCGTGTCGGAGTGGTCATTATGGGGGTGGATTTGTTGACCTCTAGAGGAGTTGCGAGGATCGAGGACAGATGCCTTGTGCAAGGTTCCGCAGCATCAGGGCGCAGACTGCGTGCGAGCCTGGGGGCAGCACACTATCGATCCAGGATCTGTCCAAGATGGACCTTTGGGTTCAGTCGGGCATGTCCCTCTCTCTACAGGAGAACGATTCAAAAATCGTCAAAAAATAGTCTGGGGACGATTTCTCTACTATTTTTGACTAGTTTTGAATATGTTGGAGTATGTTTTATTTGTCGTTCAAAATCCGCCTGTGGGGGGACATATCCGACCTAACCCTTGGGAGGGGTCTGGGAGCCGGTTATGGGCGAGTTTTTTTTATCGGGGACGGGGGAGGAGGGGATCGACAACCTGTGCACGCAGGAAACTCGACCCTACCATGCAGAACCAGGAAGCTGAATGCATCTGGTGGCTCGAACCCGAGGGAGCGAGGGGCTGACATCGCGTCTTCGGCGGAAGGTTGCAGAGGGCCAGTGGAAGCCAGCGGAAGCAAAGCGGGGGCGGCACCGCCAGCGGAAGTTGGCAGAGGTTCAGTGGAAGGCGGCAGAAGCACAAGGTGTTTCCAAGATAGGTGATATGTTTTACTGCGAAGGACGGCTGGTGCCGCCGACCTTGAAGTGGGACGACGACGACGACGACGACGACAACGACGACGACGACGACAACGACGACGACGACGACGCGACGATGACGACGACGACGGAGACGGCGACGGCAACGGAAAATCATTGAGATTACCCTCTTGGGGTTGTGTTGGAGTGCTCTTGGGGCTCTCCCGGGCCTCTTGCGGGACACTTTAGGGCCTCTTGGGGGATGCTTGGGCGCCTCTTGGGGCCTCATGTGGGCCTTCTGGGGCGAAGGCTCCAAATTTCGGTCGGTGATCCCCTCTCGAGAGACTCCTGGGGCCCCCTTGGGGCCCTATTCGGCCGTCTTGGGAGCCTCTGGGCGGTCTCGGGGCCGTCTTTGGTCGTCGTGGGGCCGTCCTGTTCTGCCTTCGAGCTCCATGACGGGCGACATGTTTTCGTTCCGGGCCGAAGCGGGCAGCATCACGTGGCCATCGTGGAGGAGATTGGATGCGCATATTTGGGCGCACATCCGTGTGGCTGGGCACGCCAGCCTGTCGCACAAACCCTGCGCGCGGTTTCCGCAGGTTTCGCATGCGAACCTACGTAGTCGTGTGTGCGTTCCAGCCATAGCTTCCCCAGCGCCACCTCACCGATCTGCTGGTCTGGCAGTTTTACAGGTCATGATCTTCACCGTCTAACATCGCCCTGATGGTTGAATGGCACCGATGAGCACCAGACTGCTGCCTGCGCTTCAAACTACCCGCGTCGAGCTCATGTTCCTCGGGCTTGGCCGCTGCAGTTTGGCTTTAAAGCGCCTCTCGTTTTTCACTACCTTCTGCACGGACATGACTGGGCTGTTCCATTTTGGTGCGTTCGATTAAGTTCGTTCGCAATTGGCACCTCCACCTGCCGACCGCGCCTGAGGTTCCGGGAGCAGGAGGGGAGCTAGCGGAGGGGTGGAAAGAAAGAGGGGATTGCGTGGAAGGGGGAAGAGAGGGGGAAGAAGGCAGTAGAGGTGGGCTACAGTTGTTGTTGGTTGATCGCGTGTGCTCGAACGGATACAGACGATTCAGGGCTTCAACAGTGTTCCGAAGTCATGGGACGCATGTTTCTCCATGTTTTTTTCGTAATGCGGCTGTAGCGGATGCTCGCTTGTTTTCCCCACCAGGTCAGTCAATGCCGTTCGGATGGTTGCGACAAGGCCGTGCGAGCCTGAGCTCAGTCGCGAAAGTTTGATCTGCAGTTTTGCTTGTCAGAGCGCTCGGAGGTGCAAGTCGAGCGCTATGTTCAGGCATGTGCTGCGTGTTATGAGTGGTTCTCAGGCGCCCCTCGTCTCCAGCCGCTGCCCGACATCTGCACACAAGCCATCGTTTTGCTGTGTCTGCGAAGCTCGGTGTGAAACCGAAGCGTGGCGGTCGGATTCACCATACATGTAGCTCAGCATCTCCTCACTGCGCGCACGTCTTCATTTACTTTTCACAGTCCGTTAGCATGCCTCTTGCGAGGCCGGCTACGCGACAGCCAACGAAGGCTCCCCAGGCTTGTTCACATGTTTGTGATTAGCCGTACTCGCCCGAAGCAGACGTAGCATCAGAGTTGTTCTCTTCTTTAGGGTTACCTCGAGCTCCATGGCGATGCAGCACACACTGTCCGAGCGATCGGCACGTGACCCAGACAGTCAGTCATATCCTATACAGTCGGACCGAGGTGTGAGATCGAGGTCGGTTCGGGGAGAGTGCCCTAGCGTTCCTCGTGTTTGTTGGATGGTCTTGTGCATCCTGGGGAGGATACCCTTAGATGTTCTGTTTGGTTTGGCCAGCAGAGGTTCTCATGTTCTTGCTTTTCTGGCTTAAGTCCGATTGCATTGTAGCTAATCTTCGATGGAAATGATCGATGCGTTCGAAGTGGCCACTGGGTATCAGCGTACATGCCGAGTCTGATCAAATGTCAGCTTGCGTTCAGGGGCAACGATTCCACCTTTGGTTTCCTCTTTCCAAGGACGCCCCGCGCCCATCCCGTGTGACGCGGGCTACAGAGCACATAAGTGCAAACGCAAGCAAAGAAAGGCGCAGCCGGCGAAAAGGCGCCAACGTAATTAGGTCCGCAACCAAAACGTGGAGATATTGAATGTTTGATTTGCGCTTGCTGTTCAAGCTTATGAGCGGGGAATTCTAGACTGAGTCAAGGACACGTAAAACAAAGGCGCTTGAGCGTTATTGTTAGAGCTGCAGGTTCCAAGCCGCTGGGCTTAAAGCATTATGTGCGCTATTTAAAGGTGTTGGTATCCTGAGCGTTGAGTCTCTACTGGTTTGCAGGTTGAGTGCCAGCCGAGGGAACTGACACAAGTTGTAGTCCAGGTGGTTGTCTTCAGGATGTGTTTTATACTTACGCAGGGTATCGCTTGTTTTTTCTCTCCGCCTGCTGACCTCACACTCAACAGCACCCGTCCGCGTCCTGCTTAAAGAGAGGGCCAGAGAGAGGGAGAGAGAGAGAGAGAGAGAGAGTTCCTTGCCCCTGCGGCAAGTCTCGCATTCTGCGTGGTGATTGTTCGAGATGACAGGGGAGGCCGTCACGTGTGACACTTCTCGTGTCTCCAAGCTTGCGAGAGCCGCGATGAGGATGATGATTATCTTGGGCCATCTTGAGGCCATATTGGGCAGTCGAGGGGCCAAATGGGGCCGTCTTGGAGCCATCTTGGGTCGTCTTGGAGGCATCTTGGCCTCGGGAGCGCGAATCCGTCGAACAAAAAATACGACGGATTGTGGCCTCGGTAGCGCGAATCCGCCGTATTTGACGGAGGGATTGTGGCCTCTGGGACGCGAATTCGTCGCATGTTACGAGGGAGTGTGTCCTCGGTAGCGCGAATAGATTGCACCTCGCTATGGACTGTGGCCTCGGAAGGGTGGGGTGCGGCTCATGCAGGGCAGCGTGATGAGATGGGGGGGGCTTTAGAAGATTACAAAAACTCTTCCAGACAGCACCTGGCATTCTAGCACGCCCCAGCGTGCCATGGGGCTCGGCAGCGGATTTTTACAGGGCGGGGGCCCTCGGACAGGTGCCCCCCTTCACACTTTTCGGGCGCCGGCGGGCAGGCGAATCGCCATGCCGTCAACACACGCGCGTGCCGAGCGCGCGCGTGCCAAGCAGGTCGGCCCCTCACGGGGCGGAGGTGCCGCAGCAAGAGCCGGGCCGGAGGTAGCCGTGCAAATAAGGGGGCATTCACCGGGTCGTCTCCTGGAGGCTTCTTCCCTCATGGGCTGGGGGTACAGTCCCCCCCTTGATGCTAGGGAAAAGCATCGACCCACGTCACGTCGCGAGATCAACAAACTGATTTCACACACAAGTTGGCTTCAGCCCCCTCGGCCTTCAGGACGCCGTCCCTGGGCGTCCGTCCGCCCCGCAGGCCTTCCGGGCCTCCCTCGCGTCCCTGCTGAGCCCAGCCAGAGGGTCAGCGGAGGAGGGTTTCTCCGATGGGCTTCTTAGGCGACCCGTCCTCCTCTCTCCTCCTCCTCCTCCTCCTCCTCCTCCTCCTCCTCCTCCCTCCTCCTCCTCCTCCTCCTCCTCCTCCTCCTCCTCCTCCTCCTCCTGATCCTCCTCCTCTCCTCCTCCCTCCTCCCCTCCTCCTCCTCCTCCTCCTCCTCCTCCTCCTCCTCCGCCTCCTCCCCCTCCTCCTCCTCCTCCTCCTGATCCTCCTCTCCTCCTCCTCCTCCTCCTCCTCCTCCTCCTCCTCCTCCTCATCCCCCTCCCCCTCCTCCTCCTCCTCCCCCTCCTCGCCGTCTCCTCCTCGGGTCGCTACGGCCCCGGGGGAAACCGTCCAGCCAGCGGAGGTCAGGAGGGCGCCCAGGTGCTGAACATGGAGCCAGGCAAAGAAAGGGCACCCCAAGGCCAGCAAGGACCGTCCACGAGGCTTCAGATCCAGCAGGAAAGGCCCCCGGACAGCCAACATCCGTCCAAGTCCAGAGGTTCTTCTATATGTTTGGTTTCGCGGGCTGTTCGATGCAAGGTGGTTCGAAGAGGGCCCCCAAAAAGGCCCAAGATGGCCCAAGAGGTTACCAAGATGGTCCTTTAGGACCCAAGAGAGTACAAAGGCGATCCATGATGTTTTCCGAAGGGGCCAGAGACAGCACAAGGACGGACCCAAAACAGCGCATGTTGCTCATTCCGGCGCTGTCAAGTCTGCAGAGCGTGGTACGTCGAGGGGATGTGCGAACGTAAGTTGCAAGCAAATTGGCACACACACACACATTCACACTTACACAGACGTTTCCTCTAAGCAGCTTGTCCGCAGGGGTCGTAGATGATGATTCGAAGGCCGGGGCGAGCCTCGCCGGATCCAGAGTCGGCGGCTCGTAGTCTCCCGTATGGTGTTTGCATCGTCTCCCGCATGGATTCTCGGTGTGATTTGTTGAATGGTTTGCCGTATTGTTTCCCGTATGTTATCTTGCATTTCCCCCCGTATGATCGAATGGTATGTTATCACGCATTGTCTCCCGTTTGATTTTCAGTATGGTTTGTTATATGGTTTGCCGCATGCTGTAGGGGTGCTTACTGCTTGTGGGTTGGGGTGGTTATGGGAGCCTTTCAGCCAATATGTCCCGTCCCGAAGCCGGGTCACCGTGTCCGTGACTGAGATCGTAATCCCCACCTTCCCCCGCACGCTCACGAAGCCACCAGCTCGGCCCTGCGCCCCGCCTCCGCCTTTCCTCCCGCTCCCGCCTCTGCTTCCTCCCAATCCGCCCCACTCCCCCGCGTTGCCCATCCGCGCGATGCCCGCGGCGCTCCGATAGACATACTTCCTGGATCACCGCAGGCACAGTTCCAGTGGCCATTTCATCGGCGGAGCTGGGTCGTGAGGTCGAGAATTTGATTCCAGGTGGTGCGTTATCCTCCTTTTCCCCATCGGGGCAAGTGTCGTTTCCGCCTTGTGGCTGGTGATCAGAACACAGTTTGCTCTGGCTCGCTGCAACGCGGGATGCAGGGACCCGATGCAGCGGGGCTCCCGCATCCCTCCCCGCTACCAGAAGGCTAATGCGATGCAGTTTGCTTTACCGTGGTGATCTCGTGGGTGGAATTGTGAAGGATCCCTCCCGGTTCCCCACACTACCGCGCGCCCCTGCCCCGCTTCCCAGAGGTGCGGGGGACGCCTGTGCCCGCACAGGGGATGGGCTGGGAGCGCCTCTCCTGCCCATCCTCGCTGCACCTTCGCCCGACCGGGAGCTGCTCAGCCAGCACTTCCAGCGGAGCCCCCACCGAGCCTCGCAGGATGGCCCTCCCTCGTGCCCAGGCCCCGCGGCAGGCGCCGGCGGCGTCGTGCCGTCGTCTCGCCAGGCTCGTCCTCGCTTTCCTCGCTGGGACCTGGCCCCCGCGTGCGGGCCTCGCCACGTCTTGAGCCTCGAGCCCTGGCCCCCGCCCCACCGGGAGGTCAGGGGCAACGATAGGGGGAGTGATGTCGGCGGCGCGCTTGGGGGGGGGGGCAAGTGAGAGGGGGCGGGCCGTCTCGGAGGGCTCGGAAGTCCCCCAGCCGTCTGAGAAGTGTTCTAAGCCTTGCCCGAAGACACAGAAAATGTCTCAGAAGGCCGGGGGCTTCTGAGAAGCCCCGCCGCCTTTGAAAGGGCCTTCTCCTTCTCATTTCCCCCCTTCGCTCGCCGCCGAGGATAGGCTCAACGAGGCAGGCATCAACCCCCAATCGCACATCCACCACCCATAGGGGCCGACAGCCCTCTCCGCCCAGGAGCGCGCGGATGCGCTACCCGGGGGCCCATCGCCGATCTATCGGCGGTGTATCGCCGGTTCCAGCTCGATGTTTCCCCCCCTGAGCCGGTCGCCCTGGTGGTTTCCGCGTCGGCGAGGCGCTTCGAGGCGGAGCCCCAAAGCTCATGGGCTGCCCGCCCTCAGCTTGCGTGAGCCCCAATAAGCTTCCAGGAGGGGAGCCCTGGAGCTCCGAGGAGCCCCCGCCCAGCGTTGCTCCTCCGGAGGGCGGGTGTCCGCCTTCCCTCCCTCGGGGCCGGCGGGGGCCTGCCCTGCGGCGCGGGGGCATGCCGGCGCTCCCGAGGCCCCGCGGGCGCCGCGGCGCTGGTGGGGGGCGTGCCCTGCCTGTGAGGCGGCCGCGCAGGGGCGCAGGGGAGATGCCATTGGCACTACCCCTCCCTCCTCTTCCCCTTTTGTTGGGCCTCGTCGCCACTGCTGGACTCGCCTCGAAGTTCTGGTCACAACGCACCCCAGGAGAAGTCCAGGGGGTGGCGGTAACGGTACCTTTTGGTTTTCCCCAGTGGTGGAACCCGGGAAGGGAGGAGGAGGAGGAGGAGGAGGAGGAGGAGGAGGAAGAGGAGGAGGAGGAGGAGGAAGAGGAAGAGGAGGAGGAGGAGGAGGAGGAGGAGGAGGAGGAAGAGGAGGAGGAGGAGGAAGAGGAGGGGGAGGAGGTAGCGGAGGAGGAGGAGGAGAAGGAGGCGGAAAAATCGGTCAGGTATTTCCCCCGACTATTCTCACCCCTCTCTCCTTAATATGTCTGTCAGTTCTTCCTTTGCTTCTATTGTTAACCTCTACCAGCCGGCGACTCCTGTCTTTAGGTTGATCACCCCCCACGCTTTGGGGGGGAGGGCTGCATCCGACGGATCCGTTCGCCTTCAGACACCAGGCACCCCAGGAGGTGAAGTCTGCGCTCTGAGGGGCGTCTTCCAACAATTGCATTACACCGTGCTGCTATAGACTTCTGCCCCCGTTGGAACGCGGCTTGTGCTTACGCGTAGCCATCACCAGGCGAGTACGTGGCTTCAGCTGCACACTGCTGAGCTGATGAGAGTCCACACGGCTGTGACGCAAGTGTACTCATCCGTGTTGAAAGAAGGTCCGCGCGACCTTCGTTGCCCGTCTCCCGACTCCAGTGCTCAGCACGAGTGTTTCATTGCACCCGCGATCATGATCTTGTGTATGCGCGTTGGGCTCGTCAGCAGAGTTTGCGTGCATACTCCGCGTGCGTTGTGCGTTGTGCCGTCTCTCACACTTTCAGCCCGCAGGTCTTGGATGCACGCTGTTTTTTGCATATTTAAATATGTTAGTTTCGCGCGTTCTGACGCGTTCTCAGAGTACGCAACCAAGCCCAGGAGATAGGGTCCAGTGTTCCGCGCCAACCCGAAGCGCCTCAGGGCTGCATTGAGGGATGCCCTGCAGGAGCGTGGGATTAATGAGATGAAAAGTCAGGCTGCATGCCGGCGAATTGCTGAGGTGAATGAAGAATATATGTGTGCCACTTGTGTTCGTACACATGCAGTTCGAGGCAAAAGTTAGCCACCAATGTTCTCCTGTTTCCCTTTCCTTGACGAACCAGGGGGCGCTGACGCAGCGACGACGTCCTCTTACGGAGGGGTGATGCACGAACTGCTTTCCCTTGTCGCTCCACCATGCACGTTTCTCCCTGCACGCGCACGTTCCAGACTGCTCGGGAAGAAAACAGAAAGAGGAGGAGGCGGAGGAGGAGGAGAAGGAAGATTACCAAGCTCGCTATAGGCCTAAAGCGGCCTAAACCCATATTCAGGGATGAACTGATCATCGGCGGAATAGTGGAGACCATTGAGCAGCTGACGAAAGAGCCCGCTACCTCGGAAACCATTCGTTGGATGACCACGGGCCGCATATTTGAACGGTGCTCGCCGAAGAGTCGCCAGCCAGACGCCCAGTCCCCAGCCTGGCCGTCTTCCCCGTGGCGCCCGCCAGGCTGGCGCTCACGGAATCCTCCTCCTCCTCCTCCTCCTCCTCCTCCTGCTCTTTCTCCTCCTCCTCCTCCTCCTCCTCCTCCTCCTCCTCCTCCTCCTCCTCCTCCTCCTCCTCCTCCTCCTCCTCCTCCCTCCTCCAGCCTCCAGGCCCGAGGCAGGACCGCCCCAGGAGGCACGCCAGACACCCGCACGGTTTCGTTTACGGGTGCCATCGCGGAGGACCTCCGCTCGCCTTGCCTGGCGGGGGTTGATGCTTGCTCTCATGGCGTTTCTCCGCATCTTCGGCTTTGATCCCCTCCATGCCACACGGGATAGATTGGAGGACATTATGCAGGAGACGAGGAAATTCGACTTGGTTCTGCTAGGGGGAACTCAACACTGTACTCATTCGGGGAACCCTGTTATGACGACGAGGAGTGCGGGGAGGTGGGTGGTGGAAGTTCCGACGTCGACGGCCCAACATGCCAACAGCTCGTGCGGGTGTGCTATCGGGTTGGGACCCACGGTGGAGCAAAATAGTGCTGTGCAGACTTGGCCTTCACCGCCGACGGCCCCAGGGCGGGCCCTGGGAGTACGGGTTAAATACAGCAACGTGGACGTGTGTGCGATTGTGGTGTACTACCCGCCCCAACCCCAGAAGAGGGCCCAACGGGCTCACTACTACAAAACAGTTGACATCCTTACGAAGTGGCTGTCGGCAGTGCTCTCGGAGTTACCAGTGCGATGCATGCCTGTGGTGTATGGCGACCTAAATGACGGCATTGGGACATGGCATGACGGTCAGGCGTGGGTTACGCGAAACACTCCGGTGGTGGGGATTCCGAGCAGGGAACGGCTACTCACGGGAGCTGGGGCTAGGGTACGTCAACTGATGGAGACACAGTTTATGTGTGCGGCGAACACATTCAGGGGTACGGGCCCTGAGCCAACCTTCTTTGGGATGACGGGGAGCTCTCGGATTGATTATGTGTTTGTGCCGCAGGGGTTTTGCAGTCAGATCTATGTGTGCCGCCCTCATGAGCGCCTGGGTGCAAGGTTACAGGCTCTGGGGGGCTGCCCCCCCAAGGACCACCTGCCGATTGTGTGTGTGTGCTGCGCTATGACAAGCACGGGGCTCACCATGAGGCGTTGCAGACAGGCAGGGGAGAACGGTGGAATCAGGATGCTATGATGCAGGCGGTGCGGGAGGGGAAGGACCGTGACTTATTTTTGGAACAGGTAAATCGGGAATTGGAGGGTTCGGCCCACTTACCTTGGATGCGGGATCAGGCCTCCGCGGATGAGATCTTCGAACATCTAGAAGGGGCCATAGTGCGGGCAGGGCAGGTTCGTTTTGGTATTACGTCGCATGTTCTAAAATATTTTAGAACATGTCCACATCATACTCGCGCCGGATCCAAAGTGGGGAGGGTCGGTATTGACTCCGCCTCCGCGTCATCACGTCGGAGATCGCTCTTGGCCCGACGGGCTGGGCTTCGTGGAGACAAGCTGGGGGCTTCGACGGAGGAAGTGGCCGCCCTGGATGCCGAGCTCAAACAGTTATCCCACGAGCTGTTTCTGTTTCGACGGTCACAGAAGCGGGAACGACGTGCTACTTTACTGCAGGAGGCGAGGGAGCGATGGACGAGTGGGTATGTCTCTGAGGGTATGCGGTTAGCCAGGCGTGCGGCCATGTGTAGATACGGTGCCAAGAAGAGGGACGGACGCCTGGTCAGAGGCATGCTCCCAAGCCGGGCCGAATGGCTCGGGGTTTGGTCGCTCTCGGGACAAGAAGGAGGGATGCAGGTAGAAGAGTGTGCGTGGGAGGAGTGGAGGAGCGGCAGAGAGGACATGGGGGGCGGTTACGGAGTCACGGAGTCGGAGGAGACGAAGGAGGCGGCGAAGGAGGATCTTAATGCGATCCGACGATACGTGCGACGAGCGCCGAAACGACGAGCCGCGCCTGCTGGCACAGCACCTTTGGAATTGTAGCAGCAGTTACGATGGCCAAATTACAGGGTACGACAACGCAGGGGGGTGGGCAACACGGGTAATATGCCTCGGACACCATTGTTTTGGTTCTTAGTGGAGCTGGGCTTGTACAAAATTCGTGAACATCGAGATATCCCACTCTACTGGAATAAGTCACGGGGGGTAGGACTGCATAAATCGCTGGTGCGAGGGCCGCGGGGCAAGAGAGTGATTCACGTCCTTCCAACGGCGGGCAAGGCTTTCTTTGCTAACAAGTTACGCGCATGCCCGACGGCACAGGACCACGGTTTTGTTCGGGAGGGAAGGAGGGAGGATGCCATATTCACTGCACTTGTGACGAGTTGGCGACTACGACGCACGGGCCGCACCCACTGCATGTCGCTAAAAGATCTTAGCAACGCCTTTTTTTCGAGTTCCTTGTGGACGGAGCTGGATACGACAGTATCATTGTGCGCGTCCCCTGACGATGCCGACTTGTGTAGACAGAGATACAGGAATGCGGCTATCGAGTTGGAATCGTGCGAGGGCCCGTTCTGTGTGCGTCCGAGGTGTGGAGGTGTGATGGGGGACCCTTTTTACGGTGCAGGGATTATTGGGGATTTTCGGACGGGCCACAACGTCATGGGGACACCACGTTTTTACACACGACCGATCGGCCAAGGTTTTGATATCGAGCTGGCAACAATTATCAGTAGACCTTAGCCTTCTTAGATATGCGGACGACCTAAACAAGTTTGTGGTGGCTGATCTTGGGAGCACGGTTTCGGATTTCTTGCGCAAGCTAAACTGGGTCGACGAGACGTTTGATGACTATCTGGGGATGTACGGTTACGGTCAAAATGCTGATAAACAAGAATTGCTTTTCTACTTTGCGAGCCAGCCTAGGCCAGCGAAGGCCGTTCTGAGAGAGAGATCCGCACAGGGGTCCATGCCATGTCGGGGCAAAGTGCGCGAGTGTGTACGGTATTCGGGCCCATACATCAATATGCTGTCGACAGGACATCACGAGATCCCTCGGAGGTGCGGCGCTGCTCGGCAGGCTTTCTTTCGCTTGGGAGGGGTGTGGTCTTGAGGTCTGCCATATAAGTGGCGCAGGGAGCCCCTCCAGGGTCTTGTGGGCAATGCTCTTTTGAGCGGGCTCGAACCTTTCGTGTTGACGGAATCTGACTACAGCAAGCTGGACGGCTGCATGGCGGCCCTCTGCAGGACTGCGATGCTCGGGGAAGCGCGCGCCGAAACGTCGACAGGACACAAGGTGAGCATGACAACCTCTCAGGTGCTGCGTCACTGGCGACTGTCGGGCAGTCGCGTGGACCTTCGTATTAGGAGGCTTAAGTGGTATCAGTCCTGGGCTCGAACTCCGACGGCGCACGTCCAACCTCTGCGTGCACTCTTCGGGACCCTGCGGGGAGAGCACGA